CTTTAGACATTATAATTTGGTATCACCTGTGGTTACTTCACCCATAGCGCGCTGCTCGGAGGGATGACTTCATTTCAGTGCAAATGTGACAATTCCCAGTGGCTGATCCACTGCACCTCCTCCTACCTTGGGCTTTCTGTTCTTACACAGCTGTTTGACCCAGCAGCACCTCATGCCTCCAGCTGCTCTGATGTTCCTCCCTCTAACGGGGTCTCTGGGATCCTCACCCCCCTTCTACCTTCTCCTTTTTCCTTTTTTCCTTCAGATTCTGGCTTTTGTGAGGCTGAGTCCTGGGTTTGTGTTTCTCTGGGTTCCCAGGCTCCTGCTTTCCTGACTCAACCCTCCTTCCTTCCACATCCTTCCTGTACCCTTCCCATGGTCCCCAACACCCATCTGCTTTGGCCAGGGCCAGCAGGCACAGTGAGGAGAAGGTCAGCTCACATCTTGAAGAGCTACATCTGCAGTCATCCCTTTCCTACATCAATCTCTCATGATTAAAAGCACATGACAGCTACAAGGCCAGTGAAACAAAACAAGCGTGGAGTTTCCTCATCATTGATCATGCCAGATGAAAGATTTAAGGAACAAAAACAAGCAAAAAGAAACAAGGCCAAGGCCAAAATCAAAAAAAACCCCAAACTAAACAAAAGCACAGAAAAAAGCAAACCAGCTAAAATTCCTGCCCTTCCTTCTTACGCCAAGCAAAACTCAAGTGACTGGGAAAGATGGGTTTAAGTTTTCCTTTGTTCTACACCAGCCTGGTGCAGAACTGAACATTGCTCTGGTGGCAACTGCAAGAGCCCATTGCAGCAGGGATTTCAGCCATGCCCTTTCGCTGACAGACACTGCCACAACAGCTCTCCATCTTCCACCATTCGCTGATTTGCTTTTAAAAAGCTTTGTCTTTGCAGATGGATGCAGCTACTCCTTTTAAGAGTAGCATAGGCACAGCTATAAGATAGGGAAAGAGGGGGCTACAGGGACAAAGAGACTCCTGTCAGAGCTGCACAGTAAGAAGCATCCTGCTGCACAACAGGGAGAAGGTTCTTCACCCTGAGAGTGGTGCAGCAAGGGGACAGGTATCCCAGAGCATCTGGGGACTTAAGAGAGCCTTAGAGAGCTTCAGAACTGCTCTGGATGAGGTCCTGAGCAACCTCCTCTAACTCTGAAGCTGGCCCTGCTTTGAGCAGGAGGTTGGACCAGAGCTCTCTCGAGGTGCCTATCAGTGATATCTACTCTGATTTGTAGGTGTTCAGGAGGACTGGGCTGCCCAAAGCTTCTTCCTGTCCTGTGACTCAGAACACGAGCCGCACTGCTGAAGGCAAGATGCACATAGCCCCCACTTTCTGCCACATTCTCACCTCAATGACGTCCAGTTTAACTTATTGCATTTCACTGTGCTTCTCAGAAAAGCAAACCAGCAAAAGTTACCATGAGCTAAAACCATGCAAATCTGCATTAGAGAAATTCCCAAGGGAAACACTGACAACTCAGCTTTCAGCAATCAGCAGCTTCCAGCCATCTAGTTACCTGCACCACTCTGTTCATACTGAAGCAGCTTTCCATGCCCTCTGGTGCTTTTGGACAGCACATTTGGAGCACTTTGCAAACCCTGAAAATGGCCAACACTTGGCAGACTTTGAATTGTAATTTTTGCACAAAAAAGGAAGCCAGCATTCACGGGATTTCCTGTCTTCCATCACCGTTAAGTATAACACATTCTGGATCAAGCCTCATTATTTATGGATGAAGTGCTGTTCGCAGTCTCCACTCCAGAGCATCGTGAAAACTGAGATCAAAGCGCAGAAGAGCCTGAGCTTCTGATGTGTTGGAGGCCGCCAGTCCCCCCAGTTTTCAAATGGAGTGAGATGTGCGCATCACTTCTGGAAACCAGCCTGCGCCAGGCTGCAAAGCACCATTCTCATTTTCCGCTGGCACCAGCAAGCTTTAAGCGCACCACATCACATGTTCCTAAGCTGAACTCGCGCCCTCTAAACTGTCCCACACACTACTGAGATGGACAGAACAAGTTAAAGCAGACGGGGATCAGGAAACTGCCGACTGTCGGAAATCAGCCAGTGTGGAAAAAACCCACTTTGGTTCTAACTGTAGTGAGACTAAGTAGGTCACCACAAAACCACATCAGAAGATGAGAGCAAGGAGGAGGTGTGGGTTCAGTCTCACTGCGAGAAACCAGATGTCCTCCAGCTCTGCCCCACCTGCGACACAGAAACGGCTGCTGGCCAAAAATCGCTGTTTTTAAACCTCAGACACACTCATACCTGCTTGGATGGCTCTCACTTTTACTCAAACAGATCTCATGAATACAGTCGGCATTCGTGTGCCGTAAATCTGCGGTTTCATTTGGATTAAAGTGCACAGTTGATATTCTAAAGGTCCTTCAAAACAACCTGAGGTATATAAACCAATATGCTTGTTTGTACAAAGCCCTCTGGTCTCTTTTCTTTCCTGGGGAAGTAAAACCAGACACAGAAACGCATGTGATGCTGTTACACTATTTATTTCCACAGTGCCCGTCATCCCAGCATCTTAAACCTTCACAGACTGGGTCCATGAATAGCTTTGTAAGCTGGGAGGTCCTTATTAGCCTTATTTTCCAGGTAAGAACTGATGTGCAGGAGAACTTAGAGACCCCAAATCACAGCAGCAGGCTGTGCCAGAGGAGGGCATTTGAAACTCACACCAGAAAAGGCTGACAACTCAACATTTGGATTCAAAAGCATTTTGACACTGATTTTGAGGCAGCAGCTTTCTGCTTCAGCTCAATGGTAACCGGATAAATGCTAATTCAACACTTTGTGCTGCAAGGCTGGGCTGCCAGTCTGTGGCTGAGCAGTGAAAGCCAACCACACATCACCCATGCACTTACCCAGGTCTGCTTGGCCAGCAGGAAAGGGTTAGGGGAGCTGCACACTGAACATGTCCCATTTATAAAGCCAGGATCCATCTCCTGCTTTCCAGCACAGCCTCTGACACAGTAACCCCACACCACCGGGACCTCTGGCTCTGCTGAAGCACAAGGGGTTACTTACGAACTTGGGTGATGGCAGTTGAAGGAGCCATGAGGCAGTGACAGGTGAGGGACAAGGAGCTGCTGGTGATAGCTGCGGGAGGACTGAGGGACAAGGAGCTAGTGGGTGACTGATGTGAAGGGACAAGGAGCTACTGGGCAGTGGTGCCGGAAGCGGTGCAAACCACCAGACAATGGCAAGTGAAGGACAAGGTGCAAAAGCCACTGGTGATTGAGGGAGCCAATGGACCATGGAGCTTCTGAGGGACACTATGCTAAGCAGCAATGGCTGAGGGACAATGAGTCACTGAGCAATGGCTGACAGACATGGTAGCAGGCAGTGATGGCTGAGGGACAAGGAGCTGGACAACGATGGCTGAGAGACAAGGAGCTGGACAATGATGGCTAAGGGACAAGGAGCTGGACAACGACGGGTGAGGGACATGGCACCAGGCAATGATGGCTGAGGGACATGACAGCAGGCAATGATGGCTAAGGGACAAAGAGCTGGACAATGATGGCTGACGCACATGGCAGCAGGCAATGATGGCTAAGGAACAAGGAGCTGGACAACGATGGCTGAGGGACAAGGAGCTGGACAACGACGGCTGAGGGACATGGCAGCAGGCAATGATGGCTAAGGAACAAGGAGCTGGACAACGATGGCTGAGGGACAAGGAGCTGGACAACGACGGCTGAGGGACATAGCAGCAAGCAGTGATGGCTAAGGGACAAGGAGCTGGACAACGACGGGTGAGGGACATGGCAGCAAGCAATGATGGCTGAGGGACAAGGAGCTAGACAACGACGGCTGAGGGCCATGGCAGCAGGCAATGATGGCTGAGGGACAAGGAGCTGGACAACGACGGCTGAGGGACACGGCAGCAGGCAATGATGGCTGAGGGACAAGGAGCTGGACAATGATGGCTGAGGGACATGGCAGCAGGCAATGATGGCTGAGGGACAAGGAGCTGGACAATGATGGCTGAGGGACATGGCAGCAAGCAATGATGGCTGAGGGACAAGGAGCTGGACAACGATGTCCGTGGGACATGGCAGCAGGCAATGATGGCTGAGGGACAAGGAGCTGGACAACGACGGCTGAGGGACATGGCAGCAAGCAATGATGGCTGATGCACATGGCACCAGGCAGCGCTGCTAAGGAACACGATCCCGCGCCCGCGTGGGCAGCGCGGGAAGGTGACGTCACGCCGCAGCACCAGGTCATGGCGCCGCCACGCACCGGCAGACTAGGACGGTCCGGCGCGCGCGCGCGCCCACTCTCACGTGACAACCTCCCCCCCGATTCCATCACGCGCCCGCTTGAAGGACGCGGGCTGCAGGCACCGCCGCGCGCGCATGCGCAGCCCTCTACCTCTGTCGTGTACCATAGAGATTGAGGACGCGTCCGCTAGACCGTCACCCCAGAGCCCCGGAAGTGGAGGCACCGCCGGAGAGCGGAGCGAGGTTTGAGTCGGCGGCCGGCAGCAAGATGGCGGAGTGAGTGCGGGGGCGGGTGGGGTGATCGGCCTGCTGCCCTGGGCCCTGTCGGCCTGAGCGCTTCTGCTCCGGGGCAGGGCTTTTCCCTCAACAGGGAGTCGTGGCGGGGGCAGTGTCCCAGCACCTCGGTGCCCGGGGCTGCGGGCGGTCAGACGTGCAGCGGGGCAGCCCGGCAGCCCCTGGGCTGAGGGGTGCAGCGCGGGCCCCGGCAGGGCGTCCAGGAGCATCCTGCCGCGGGAGGGGAGGCCGGCTCTGAAGCGGCTCTGTAGGACCTGGCAGGCGCAGTCCCGCTGCCCCTGCCCTTAGCCTGACACGGCGGGTTTGTCACACTCGGCAGGCGAAGTGGGCCAGTTCGTTCTCTGTGCCAGGCTCTACCTGCATCCCAAGCTGCAGTGCAGAGTGTTTGCTGTATGCAGTGCATGAAGGACCTGTCAGCTCCATGAATATGAACTTCCAGTATTTGTCTGTGATCAGATACCACTTTAAAAAGCTTTAATGTGTTGGTCACTAATACAAATTCAGTATGATTTGGTGATTGTTCCATGTATACATGTCTTTAGGAGACTGTTTTTTCGTGCTGCTCCCATGCAGTATAATCACATATTATATTATCCTGACAGATCTGCAAATGCCACCCATGAAGTCATCAATGTCACCCTTCACACCACGTTGGCTGCTACTACCAAACTGGTGGTACCTACACCTGCCAAGCCTATCCTTCCAGTTCAGACTGGAGTCCAAGCACAGCAAGAGGAGCAGTCTAGTGGCATGACGATTTTTTTTAGTCTTCTTGTTTTAGGTGAATAGTGAACTGAAAGTCTTTTAATCTCTGTTAATTGTATGCTATATCTGAGGACATAGGTCAGCTTTCAGAATCACAGCATCTTATTTCTCCTCTGATTTTTCTCTCTGTGAAGTGGAATGTTGTACAGGCACAGGGGTTTAGAAAGTTGGGTATGTAACTGCCTGAACCAAACCTGTAGAAAGCTGAGATTCCTCCAAACCAAGCTACGCTGAGAGACTTTTCTGTGACAGACAGGTGACTTAGTCTTCTAAGTGGTCATTCTTTCCAGTAGCAAATGGAGAAAATAATAAGTATGGAGTTGACAGCAATGCAGAAACTTCTGCAAATCATTTGGTTAAAAAAAACAATTGTTTTCTAGGAATAACTATTATTAAGAGCAGCAAAAAGTAGGAGGCTTCTGATTATTTCTAATGTATCTGGTTTTATTCAAAGAGGATTAGTATTTTCCCAGAGATCAATGGCATATTGGAATTTGGACAGAAATGAAATACCAAAACAAAATGCAGCAGATCAGAAAACTTCTGAGATTAAAATAAGATTTCTGAATATGTGCGTGTTGTGGATTTTAAAAAGGCCATTCGTGGTAAAATTATAGTCCGAGGACTTAAGAGCAGAGGTGTGATTTTTTTGGGCCCTGTTGCAGCCTCCTTATGCCAGTCTGATAATTTAATGGATCTTAAAAGCATCACCCTCAGGACAGGGGAGTTCCCTGAACATAGTAATGCTGGTATGAAAGCTTATTGTTCGTAGTTATTCCCATTCACAATCTCTGAATTAGGAGTGTAGGAAGGATGAAAATGAATGTGCGTAACATATTCTCAAGCCTGGATGTCATGAGCTGTACAATGGCCTTTAAAATGTTCTGTACTGAAATAGACCCAGGAGCAGATCCGTTCTGAGCTGGGTTGTGTCAGAGCCAAGCCTCAAATATAAAGTGCCTGAAGTAATGAGTTATTCTCTGACCCCAGATTTCTATGGCTAGTTTATCTGTTCTAACAGCAGTTCCCTTTCAAAGCCATACCTCTATTCCTCTATGTTCATGTGATCTGTGAATTCCCTTCTGTTTTGTGACATACTTTTACTATGCTTTTCCTTAAGGGGACACTCAAGTGTTCCTTTAAGCCTGTCCACTGCTTTTCCCAGCCCCTTGCCTGATTGTTATAATCCTGATACTTGTGAGTGCTGGGAGCAGATGATATGCTGCCAGATACAAACTGAGCAGTCTTACACAAGAAATCAGTGATCAACAGTTAAAGAATATATCAGGCTGCCATAATATTTATGGTGGTGGGAGTTATGTCTTAGGCTTTTTGTTTTATTGCCAAAGTAGAGTATTTAAAAGCTGGTAGAAAGGAGCTGGTGATTAGATCTGCTGAATATGGATCTATCCAAAGATAAGGGGAATAGAACACGGGAATACTAAATGTCTTTACTGGATGCATATTTCTTATATTCAACAAGCAGGAAATTGGTAGAAAGTCAGTAATATTGGTTGACAGGTGACTAAAAACTGCTTGGGATACATGATGAAGGTATTGCGGTTGGCAGCAAAATGTCTGAGTTGCTTAGTTTCAACTGCTGCAGTTTCTAGTCTAGCACTTTAAAGTGAACACCAGCCTGAGTCTGCATTTTTGTACTGTAAATTCTGGTGGTTTGAGAACTGATTAATCAATATAATGAAGATTGGTGGGGTGGAAGTAGGGTAAATATGCAGGGAAAGGAGCCCTGACAGTCTTTAAGAATGAAGCCATCCCTTCTCACCACTCTGAACCCAAAGGTTTGGCCCTGAACAAATTACATGCCAGTAATTGAGCAAATGTTACTGTTTTTCCTAAGTCCTTGCTCTGTTTGTAAGCCAGTCCATCTATTCATATGCTCTTCAATTATATGCTCACTATGTTTTCTATGAACTTGGAGTACAAGATAACAAGTGGGAGAATGCAGGCATCAGTGTGATGCACATTCCCTAACACTGTATTGGAGAGTAGGACAACTAAAAGCAATACTTGTATTTATGAGGCTTGTACTTCTTTGTGACACTGTATATTTTCTAAACCATTTGCAAGTGGCTGTTTGGTTTTGGTTAACTAGAAGGAGCTGTTAAACCAAATCACTAAGAGAAGCTCCAAGAAGCTGAAGCTAGCTCTGCTTTAGGAGGAAGCTGGGCTAGGTGACCTTGAGAGATCCCTTCCAATGTGATTTTTCTGGCTCTTGTGATTATCCATTCGGGTAAAGGCCATCTGCTCAGAGGGACTCTGATGTGAAAGTGTATAGCTTTGAAATTCTAATCGAGGCCATGTGTACATGTGTTTTATTTACAAAATACGAAATGTTTACAAGAACCCTATTAAAACAGTGTATCTCAGAGAAGGTTTTCTTGTAGGCTGAACTGCTCTCTAAATGTAGTAATATTGGTATTTTTAGAAGGTAGTTTTAAGTCCTAAAATTTGCCTTATTTGTCATTTGCAGATCCATTTACATCCTTCAGTGAGAACTAGGCTTGAACTAAAATTTGGTTACTTGCATTAGTGGTTTTCTACTAAATCGTTAGAAATTTTGCTGCATGTATTTTAGAAATACTACTTAAAAGTATATTTTATTCTCTTCTAACACTTCTAAATTTACAATTTATTTTTTTCCCTCACAGCTATCTGCATCATATTGGTGCATTTACTGATAAAATACCGACTTCATTTTTTGCCAGAGAGCGTGGCTGTTGTCTCTTTAGGTGAGTAACCATGGCATTTTTCTATTGTATTTGTGTTAGTTCAGGGACCCTCAGTAATCTCTACATGAAGTAATGCTTTGTTGTGTGCTAAACATCACTAGAAAGATGCAGCAAACAGTATGCAGTGAAGAGAACAGCCAATTCACAAAATTAAATTCATGGAAGAAACGAAGTGCAGACTGGCCCAGTAAAATGACACATAGGGATGTCACTACCTAAGTACTTTGGCAGCTTCCTCTATTGTTGGCTATCCACTGTAGGATAAAATACTTCAGCATTCCCTGGCAGCAAGAGTTTGGCCTTCTCTTTGAAATAGAATGTGTTTGTATTAGTTGCAGTAGCAGTATGTCTGATTATGTTATTTTAATCTGACTGGGGACTGTAATTGTATCCTGAAAACTCACCTCGACTGCCAGATACTTAACTGTCCCTGTAGTACTGTGACAAGAGCTCTTCCTATGCCTTGAGCTACAAGAATGCCACTCTTAATGAAGATCAAGTGCTTACTTAATTTGAATTAAATTTGGAGTATTCCTAAGCCTGTAGTTTTATATTAGGGTAATTTCATTTGTTTGCATGTTGTTGCTTCTGATTTGTCAATGTGTAAATGAGGAGGAAATCAGGCCAAATGCATTTATAATTTTCTCAGCATACTATCTAACATAATGTTTAAAGAACTTGATCTTACTAATCCCAACAGCAATTTTTCAGCTGTCTCTAACTTGTTTGCAGGAATCTGTGGCATTTTTGCTTCTATTACTAGAGACACTTTCACTGACAGCCACTCTAAAAATACAACAAAAGGAGAAAGATGCTTAGTTTTAATCCTAATGTAATGTGAAGCAGTGTAATACTTGTTGAGCAGGTAGATTTTTCTACTTTCTCCTGGGCTTTGCTGGTACCTTCTCTCATATTTCTTTACTGTTTTTACACAAATTGAGAAAATCTTAGACCTGTTACCTAGCGGAAAGAAAACCATGTTTTCCTGCAAGATTGGCTTTCTGAATTTTCAGATAAATCTGATACAGACCACATCCTATTACTAGCATAGAGAAAGTATTGAATCTTAGAGACATTAACTTCCAAGGCCATATTGAAGTTCTGATATTTCTCAACAGCTAAAAAACTAATAAGCTGTAAGAAATTTGTAGTGCTGGTATGAATTTCCTGGGCATTGCACTCACACCTTATCTCTGTAGGAGCAGCATCCACCAGGCTTCTGTGCATTTATGCTTCTGTTTACCACAGTATGACATAGAAAAATTAGAGCTGCTGCAGATCATCCTGACTTTAGAGATGATGCAATCTTTGATTCACTAATTGACACAATTCTCTCTCCTTCCATTCTTACATTATTGCTGCAGACAGGTAGATGTCTTGTGTAATACATCTTCCAGTGTCTTGAAGGGTTCCAAAAGGACATTACCCTCCCTTCAGTATCATTCCTCTTTGTATACAAAAATGCAGGTAAAGGGTGTTAACATGTTCGGGTTTTAATGTGTAGCACAGCATAGCTGTAGTCTATCTCCCAAACCAGATTACGTGATACCAGCAAGTGCAATTCCACTAAGTGAAGAGAGTGTTATACCCAGTAGCAACCCAACTAACAGATGTCCTGTGTCAGTTAAGCTTTATTTATTTAGCTTATTGACTCAGTCATATTTAAACTACCGTCAACTCTGTTGACAAGACATGATATCCCTATAATCATTGGAATTGCCAGCTAATTGCTGGTCACTGAGCCTCTGTTACTGGTAATGATGTACACAGCTGCAAGAGCACAGCTTGAGTTTCAAGTATCCAGTTTTGCTAGCAGTGCCAAAAGTGAGGTGTGTCCTATTTTGACTAATAGGTTAAGCAAATGTTCTCAGGCAGTTGTTGAAGGCTAATAAATATGGCAGCAGAGAAGTTAAGCATGATTTTCACAGCTGTGTTTCCTCCCATTGTCTAAGCTGCTCAGACGCTTTAGGTTTAGGGTTTCTAGGGCATGTTAGTCCCCTGGTGGACAGGGAGGGAGTGTATTCTCTTAAGGCTGGATTGTGATCTTCGTCCTTAAAAGTTACTGGAATTTTGTTGGTAAAAACAGTTGCCAGAACAGTTTTTCTCTGATTTGTTACTGAGTTTTAGCATGGTCTCAGGGAAAATAAAGGTTGGTTGTAATAAGAAAATTCCTGTAACATTTTCCAGAGGATGAGGCTTAGATTAACTCTTACAGACTTAGCTTTACAATTAGCCCTTCAACAGAACTGATCTACCTGATTTAATAGATGGAGCCAGCTGAACAGAAACTGTACTCAGTAATAAGAATAGTAATTCTAGTAGTAAAAGAAGAGCAGTTTGTAACAATGTGTGGGACAGGTTTCTGCTGCTGTTAAACCCTCTTGGTGAGGCATTGTTTTGTGCAGCTCTGTCATGACTTTGCTTAGCATAATCAGTTTAGTAGTACTGTTGTGTTATGTGCAGGTAGAAATAACTTGTGCTATGTAAAGGTGTAAGTTGTATGACTCAGGCTCATGCTTTTCCCTTAACCTCTGCTGTTGCCTTACTTTTTACATTCAACTTTTGATATAACGAAGGGACCTCATCTGCCTGGGACACTGTTGTTAGATTCAGCTTCTGATTAACTCTTACTCCAAATAAGAGATTGATACCAGTCCTTTGGTTAAGCCTCTGGAGCTCACAAAATAGGGATGCCCAGCTTGTAGCCCACAGGCCACAGCTGGCCTACTGACAGGGGTCCAACTCCACAAAGTCACATTGGAGCCCTTCCATGCCAGCAGAAGTGAGCTAAGGATTTCTCCTTTCTTTTAAATCCTCTCTAAACATAGTTTCATGTGAGGGCTTTCAATACTAAATCATAAAATACCAAAACTTTCTTCAGGAAATACACTTCCTTAAGCCTGTGCCTTCAGATGTAGGCTCTGGTTGTTGTGGTTTGTTTTCTCCCAACATAAACTTCCTGCTAAGTAGTTGCTGCTCTGCACAAACTAGAAATGTTCTAGTCCTTGGCTTCTGACACAGCTTCCATCCCAGAATGGAAAGCCTGACTGTTCTTACTGAGACCTGTGTTTATATGGCATGTGAGTGGCTGTATCTGCATTCTGTTCTCCTTTAAAGAACAGCAGACCTTTGATGTTCCTACATTTTTGTTTTGCTCTTCCTTTCCATATAAATGATTTCATGGAACAATTATTTCTATCCTCTGGGACCAATGATTTCACATATTTTTGTATGAAAGAAGGCTTAAGCCTCATGGCTTTGTGTGTATGACACATGCATCAGGAGTAATCCACGTGATGCTATTTGTAAGACTCTTGTGATAGCTACAGCATGAGAGAATAAAAACACGAGTTTCAGAAAAGCATACTTTCAACTTGTCTGTCACTTTTTACCTTTCATTCAGTGTATTCATTTCTACATCCAAGTGTTTGACTACGAAGTCTCTGTAAATAATAAACACAGATCTGGAATCTGACTAAAGACAAATTCTTCATAACTTCTTGAAAGCAATTAATGACAGTTCATGAATTATCTTTGTGACTTCCAGAAGAAATCCTGTTATTTTGGCATTTTCTGACGTATCTGAAGATGTATAGGAGGAAAGAGCAAGATAATGTTTAATCATTGAGTTTGTAGCACCCTTGATAAAATTCTTTTATACTCAAATGAGTATTTCTACATGACTTAAAAGATGTGTGATTCATTTGGGAAACAGTTCTTGACAGTGTCTCCACCTCAAACAGAATTTGCTGCCTACTTCATTGCCAGTAAGTACTATGACTTCACTGAGACAAAATTCACATCTGTGGAGAAGACTGATTTCACTTAAGCTGTGTTAGTGCTGCACATAGCATTGAAGTGACAATGAAGGGTTTGTGCTGTCACGCAGATATGTAACTCATAACCTCCTGATTCTTTATGAAAGAAAGGTGGAATTTGATTTGAATGCAGCTTAGTTGAGTAGCATTTTTTTGACTAGTTAAACCTGTTACCTTTATGAACCAATGAACCCAGCACTCTCAATACACATGTTCAGTGTTTGGATGTCCCAAGTGGCAGTCTTTTGTGCAGGAAAGCTATGGTATTGCATAACATGTTGGAAACTGTCATATATCAGACCCAAAACAACTTTGTCTTTTTGTGATTTAGGAATGAAAAACTTAATGCTTTATGTTTTGTCTTGTTTTCAGTTTTAGAGCATTGTTGACCAAGAGTCGATGAACAGTGTTGTGTTTTGTGAATGTTTCAGCATGTTATTTCATTCTCTCCTAGGTATCCTTATGGGAGCTTTTATAAAAATCATAGAGGCTCAAAAGCTGGCCAACTGGAAGGTACATTTGAAGCAATTAATTTTTAATGAAAATAGAACAATCCTTGACTGTAATATTAGTTTCTTTACCATGTAATTTCTATAAACTTAAGTACATGATACTTGATAACCACAGTTTGGACTTTTTTTAACTAATGAACACAGCCAATTTGCGGTCCTGATGCTGCTGAACATGTTCTACACAATATTTTTTTCCCTGAGTAATACTTTTTAAGGCACCAAATCTGTTCCTATTCAGACACATGACAGAAGAAGGCAACGAGCATCTTTGGGATCAGTTACAGTGAAAAATACAGTAATTCAGTTATTTGTCTTGTGTACTTTTTGACTGTATTTAGTCCTCTTCCTCATTTTGGAGTTAGTTTTCATAGGAAAACACCACCGCATCACCAAAGCAATGAACTCTTCACTATTCCTGCTTTAATTTAAAATCTTGCAGTATTTAAATTGTGATTTTGTCTGACAGGATCAAACAGTTTATTAGGATTAGATCACTGAACTGGTTGAAATCACAGGGATTTGAATTACCAGTTTTAAACAGGATTTATATTAGCAAGCTGAGAATCTTGGGCTGAGTAGTGAATTTTAATCCTAGCTTGCAGCTCAGCATTTGTTGGCAGTTATTTCCCTAGAGGGAGATCTTTTTTTCCTTTCCTTAGTTGAAATACATTAAAATGAATAGATTTTCAATGAGGTGTAGCTTTTTAATTGCGTATTATACTTCTTTTTTTGTCAAATAACTACACTAATTCTGTGTACATTTGTTTAAGTGATTAAATAGTTCAAGAGTTATGTAGTGATATTGCATTTTTTCATGTTTACTTATTAGAAACAGTGGGTGGTGCACTAGTTAGTGTGTTTTTCATTCCTGATTTGTGTTAACTGGATTGGACTTAAAATTCGAAGTTGGTTAGGCAGCCACAAGATCAGCATTTTACAATAGCTTGGTATTGGTTAAATAAAACAATCTGAAAAAAATCATGTATGCAGGGAAAAACAAAAGCTTAGTTTCTCTGTTTTGAGCACTGATTCTATAAACACAGGAAATAATTGATCATTGCTAGTGAAGTATGTAGTTTATTTCAGGTAAGCATTGGTCAAATCTTGGGAGGCACTTGGGGATGCTGTGACTGGTTGTTCATGTTATCAGCTAAGGTAAAGGGTCACAATTACCACATTATTATTTGCTTAGTTACTTTCACTGTATTAAAGCTTAGGTGTGAAATCTTCTAGTCAATGATTATTATGCACTTTATAAAATAGTTTTAAATGTTTAAATATACTAGATGATTATGTATCTGATATGGGGAAAAAAATAGAGTATTTAACTGCAGCCTATATCCGTGTACAAAGCAAATCTCGAAACATATCCCTGCCCTAAGACATTTGTAATGTTATTTCTAGCAATCATGCCTTACTAAGTCTTCAACGGACCTTGTACTTGCTGATGATTCTTGCTATCATGGCAGATAATTCCAGTCCTCATAGTTTACTTTCCTGGTCTCTGCTGCAGTGCAGCACAAATAAAGTCCTTCCTTTTCATTATTTCTCACCTCCTTGTCCAGATCTGCTTTCAGGAGCTTTTAAACAGTGTAATTAATTGAGTATGTGGAATTTTTGTTCTAGCACAGTTACTGTATGGACGGAACCTAGGTGGTATTAGCCAGTGATACATGGAATTGTGCATACAGAATATCAGGCTAGAGCATTTCTGTATAAAGGATGAGTTTTATTTTCTAAGTCCCCCAAATCCTTTAAGATGATTATCACTGGTACACACAGGAATGAGGCTTTAAAGAGATGAGTACTTCTTTTTTGAGAGCTGGTATTTTAACAGAACAGTCTATCAGCTGTTTAACCTGGCTTTAAACAAAGTAATCCTTGCTTACAAAGGTGACAACTTCTGCTGCATTCAGAACTGAGGGGATTGGAGGGGGGAACCTAGTGGGTAAAGAGGGAGGCTGTGACTAATCTACTTTCTGTGCTTAGTCTGCCAGCAAAAAAAGCCCAGTGTGCCAGTCTAGGGGTACAGTTCCATAAAGCAGTGTTAGCCAAGTGATGAGACAGGTGACAAAGAGTAAGGTCACCAAAAAGTAACATCTTATTTCACAGTAGGTTTCATTTATATCACTCTGATGGTAAAAAGGAACCCTCAAAATAGTACCACTAATTTACAGGTATGAAGCACATTTCCCAAGAAGAATCAAGACTCAGACTCTTAACAGTATTATATGTCTTGAGCCTGTTCACTTGCAGATGTACTAAGATGGTGATCTAATTTCTTCTTGTCAGGTGATGCGTTTTCTAGTGAACTGTGCTTGGTCACAGTTAACTAGATTATGTTAGAGCCTGTGGCCAAGAGGTCACTGTTCCTTGACAAACCTCACAGGTTTTGAGACTAAGATAAAATGTTAATACTCTATGTGGAAACAGCAAGGCTTTTCTTGAGTCATAAATAACCTATTTCCTGTGCAGCTTATTTGGAGACTGTAATTTAAAATAAGTAATGCCTAGATTTCTATCACTGGATTAAAAAAGCCAAATAGAAGTAGTAGCCCTGGAGTATTTTGCTATTCTTCAGTCTTTTATATTGTGATAAGAAAGGAGAAAGATTAATGCCATTTTCATTTTCCAACATTTTTGTTCTTTTGGGGTTTGTTTTCCTTAAACAATATCCTTTTTGGAAGATTTGATGTTATTTCTATAAGTGTTATATGATTGAAATTATACTTCTTTTTTGTTTTGCAGGAAGAAGAAATGTTTCGTCCAAATATGTTTTTTCTGCTTTTGCTTCCACCTATTATATTTGAATCTGGATATTCATTGCACAAGGTCAGCTCTCGCCAGACACTCATTTTAAATGTTGAGGTTTTGTTTGGAACACATTCTCCTGTTATCTTTGTAACATTTAGAATAATTGCATTGAATTCCATTATATTAGTCATTAGGGAATTGTGAATGCAAAATTTAAGCCTCTTCAACCCAGAATGCAGGGCATGTAGCTTGTCACTGTTAACTGAATGTTGGCACGGTATTAGGCACTGCACAGTTTGTTTTCCTTAGTTGGAGAGGTTTCGTACCTCATCAGAACTGTACAAGAACTGATGTGAAGGAGGCAAAATGGCAAGGAGTAGCATGAGAAGTGGGAAAGGTGGAGTCACTCCATAGCTAGAGAAGGGGAAAATGTTTACAAGGCTTTCAGCCTTTGCGTGGAAACCTGTGTTTCTGTGGACATTTCTCACAGCACTAGTCCTGCCTGAAGTGGTTCTGGCCCTCCCTGTGTGCTTCTGCTTGAGCTGTGCTGCAGGAGAGGGAGTGAGCAGTGGACAAAATACTGTGAATGGGTACCAACACCAAATATTTTTACATATAAAAATCACAACCTAAGAAATGGACTAGCAGCTGGGAAGTTTACAGGCTGTTTTCAGATGCTTGTCTGCCATAGATGGATTAATTTACAGTTCTGTCAGGTGGGGAAGGTGTCAAAGTGCTAGTAAATATCCAGCTGTTCATCTGAGATAGGTTTGTTGTTAGGGTACAAGACTGACATCCTGTCCCGGGTACCAGAGAAATTTCTGTTCTCCTCAAGGGAGCAGGCTCTTTAGACAGAGGGTGTAGATGGATGTCCTGGGGTACTTGAAGCTTTATTATCAGTTCTGAATCAGAATCTAATTTAGATGCAAACCCAAACATCATTTTTCTCTCAGATTATTTTCACTAATTTACTTGCTTTTATTATTGTGTTGCAGGGTAATTTTTTTCAGAACATTGGTTCCATCACTCTCTTTTCTGTGTTTGGCACTGCGATATCAGCTTTCATTGTAGGTGGAGGCATTTATTTCCTGGGCCAGGTAAGATTTACTGCTTCGAAGCACTTAACTTTATCTGGTTTGCTCTTTGAAAGTCCATTTTTCAAGAGCAGACAAACATAGTGAAAGTTAATTCCTAGGATGCAAAGTCCAGTTCTCTGCGATCATAGATGCAATATTGTATACCCCATTCCATAGGTATAGCGTGATCCATGTTGAAAGCAATTAAGACATGCATTGTGTTTATTTACTTGGTCTTCCTCTTGGAAAGTGGTTCCAAAACCTGCATTCCCTAGAGCCAGCCTCTAATTTCCAGTATTATACTTATTTATTCTTCTGTCAGTAATTTTTGGTTTGCTTCTCTGCCTTGGTGTTTCCCCATTGATTATAGATAATTATATTTTCTCTCAGGCTTCATTCTGGTAGGCCAAAAAATTGGTACTTTCTTCTTTGCCTCTCAGATTTCCATTCCTTTGATTGCCTTAGTTACTCTCCTCATCTCTTTCTGTTCCAGTCCCAACTCGTCTTCCCTGATTTGGGGTGACCAAAACAGTAGTAGATCACTGTTAGACTGGGTAATGTCACTAGTGTGATCTTTTTCATTATAACAAACTTAGGATTTCATGAATAGTTTCATATTTAAAAGCTGCAGAAAAACACAGTTGATTGTGATTTTTCTTTTTCTTTTATGTTTTGCCTATTGTTTCAGGCTGATGTAATTTATAAACTCAACATGACAGACAGGTAAGCTCTTGCAGAATGGTGTAGTGTGTGAAATGAAGCAGTCTTTAAGATAACCGTATATGGGAAATGCACTGTAGTTAGCCAGCTGTTCTGGGTAATGCTTAGATTCAACATGTGTGAAACTTATAGAGATTGAACACTTCTAAACCCTATTTATTTATTCTGTAATAAATTTATTTACATTAAATTATTATAATATACATATAAAACATAAATAAATATTATAAATATATAAAAATTAAATATATATTTAGTAAACCCTAATATATGTATTATTATCTATTTATTACACCATTATTTCCAAATAGTATTCTGTGCTCAGTGATCTTTTTACGCAGGTTTTTTAAACAGCCTTTAAAGTTAAAATGTAAAACTTTTGTTAGTTGCTATTATTAATATATATGATAAGGGTGTAACTTCCTTTTCCTTGTCCAAATCCTCTCTTAAAAGATAAACTGAATTTTTCATTATCAATAATGTAGATTTTTCAAGAACTTAACAAAGCTTCTAAACAGTTTCTTAGGAGTACATCACTCTACCTAGGAATAAAGTTTGTTCCTAGCTTTTTGGGATCTGTGTTTGTTTATTGTATAGCCAATACAGGAGTGTTCTGTTAAAGATCTATACATACCTTGGGTGGGAAGCAAGAAACATAACAAGTAATACATGCACAAACAGCAAAAGTCTTCCTTAGTTGGTTCCAAGTGTTTGACTTTACACAGCTGAGCAGGCCCATTGACTCTGTACTGTCTATCTTTGGATTCCAAAGTAATCAAGTTTTAGCAGTTCCCTTTAAATATTCTTTTTTAATACTCCTGAACACATAACACTATGCATGTGTGATACATGGTTTGGGCTGTGTCTGTAAAGTTGTTTGGTTTCCCATTCCTCTACTCTTTTTGTACTTAGTTGGAGTAAGATACTGATACTGTTGTTGAGAGCTGGGAGACAGGTATTTCTCCAGCATCTCTTCCAGCTGGACAGCAACTTTTCTCTTTGGTTTATCAGTAAATGAAACCCAAAAACGTCCCTTTTGTCCCTTCAAATTCTTATGAATAGGAAGAGAGCATAATTTTTCACTGCATAGAAACTATGACACATAATGCCTTTGTTATTAGTTGCTTATAAAAGTTTACTAGGTACACACTTCTCTTTCATCTAGGTTTCTTTTTTGTTTTGTGTTCCAGTTTTGCCTTCGGCTCTTTAATATCTGCAGTTGACCCTGTGGCTACGATTGCTATTTTCAACGCCCTCAATGTGGATCCTGTACTCAACATGTTGGTTTTTGGAGAAAGCATTCTCAATGATGCAGTCTCTATTGTCTTGACCAAGTAAGTGCATTTGAATTACACGTGTTTATGGGAACAATGACTGCATTATTTTCTGTTAATTAGTTATTCAGACATAAAGTAATTATTCCATCTCTGTGTGGGACATATCGTTTGTTTCTGGTGTAAAGCTGAATTTTGTATGATCCTTTGTTAAAATCAATCTATAATATAAACTGCATAGGCAGAAGGAAGTAAATGGATGTCTTATTACCATTACCTCAAGCACACCTCGAGCAATTACTCATTGGCCCCAGATAATTGATTGCTTTCTAAGTCCGTATGTTCACCAGTTCTGTTTCCATCTGAGGGACCTGACAACAGAAGACGACCATGTCCTTTCAGGCTCGCAGAAAAATATTTACCTTGCCGAATACTCAGCTGTGTCTCCTATATTATTGGCTTATATCCAGAGTCACACATAAGCTGGGAGGAACACATCAACATCCATGCAATAGTTTCATATTTATGTTGGGGGTATCACAGGGAAGAACAACATCCCATATCCTTCTCCTTTGCCCATGATAATTATTTTGAGCTGAGTTAAATAGGTTTTATCTTCATGTTATTGCTGCAAGTCAATGAATGTGACTTTGAATGTACAGAAGGAGTAGCTAGACTAAGGAAGTTAGTGTAATTTTTCAGTTAACTAATTGCTTTTGATACAGTCATGGTTCTTTTATGGAAGACCACGAAGGCTAACAGCAATCAAAAGGAACACTAGTTGGAATCCATGTTGTTTTTGCATGGAATTTTTATGAAATTCAAAGAGTTCTCTTCCCTTTCCTCCTCTGAGCTTCTTTGTTTTTCTTCAGTGACCTTCTTGTCTCTCATCCATGCCTAAATATTTGATGAGAAGTCTTCCTGTTCATTTGTTCTTCTCTCAGGATCACATGATGGGTCTTTTCTTTTTCATGCCCTGAGTTTTTACCGCTGCAAAGCACGTTTTCCTTTTCAGAGTTTGAAAACTGTTTTGTAATACTGGCCATTATCATAGCCTATTTATGCCATTCTGGGGATTCTTCAGAAGAGCAATGCTGGGTTTCCAGATTTTTAGCAGAATTAGGTTTCCCTTTGGGGATTACACTGAGACTTGATTTAACATCTTTTGACATTCCTCTTGTTATATATATCACAGTAAAAGCCTTTTAAGAGTGGTAGCAACAAAGAAATGGAAGCCTTTGTTGTTGCTCTCAAAGGATGTTTGGTATTTTTGGATCTAGGCTTAGAACTCATAACTGTTTCTTTTTATTTATTTTTTAATTATCTCTAGCACAGCAGAAGGTTTGACAAGAGAAAATATGTCAGATGTAAGTGGATGGCAAACCTTTCTACAGGCACTGGGGTACTTTCTTAAGATGTTCTTTGGCTCTGCAGCACTTGGTACACTTACTGGTCTTATTTCTGCATTAATATCCTTTTTTAAGTATTGGTCTTACACATGTATGAATTGGTGAACTTCAATATTCTAATAGTGTCTTTTCTTTCCCATCTTCTCCAGCATTTTTTAGTGGATATTTCCTATTAGTCATTATTTTGTTGGCCAAGGATGTTCTCATGTTTATTTTGTTTTTGTGTTTGTTGCAAGGGTGTGTGTTAAGAGTTGCATTAAATTTTTATGAACATAATTAAGGTCTGAAATGCTGTGTAGTTGCCTATATTACATGCACTGGAGTGTTATAAAATATGGTAATTGGTTTATAAATTCAAAATACATTAATTCCATTTCAGTTCTGATCCCTTTTTACAAACATATGGCTCCTTTTTTACATACATAAACCAGTTCATTTAAAAGGGAAAAAAAAGCTGTTTTTCCCGAGGGCTTTTGAGTCAGACCAGCTCATTTGTCCCTATGTATCATATTCAGCAGCTGAATACAGATACTGTTCTATCTGGATTTACACTGAGTTATATTTTGCCTCTTCCACTTCCATGAAGTGGTTGCTAAACAACGCAGAAGCTTCTCTCCCGAGATAAGGAAGGAAGTTTCTTTGTAAGTCCGACACCTTTGTCTCTTTTCAGAGCTTGTCTAATGTTAACACTGACTTTACTGCAGGTAATCTTTTGTGTCAGGCTTGTACAACAATTATTCATGTCATATTGTTAAGCACTTTATTTGTAAATAACAATAATAGAGCATTTGATGAACTGCAGACATATTTCCTGTCTTGATTCATTAGCCTGATTCCATGAACTTTTAAGTCATTCTGTACATCACAACAAAAGAGGGAAACAGATGTTCAACACTTCTTTCACTGATATCTAAATGCGAGACAAATAGAAAAGCAGCTTATTTGCCCTATTACAATTACTTTGCTTCAAAGTACTGAATTTACCCTGAGCATGCAAAATTTCAGTGCAGCAAAGGGTGTATCTTATTAGTTGCCAGCAGATAAATACAGTGGAAAGTTGTTGCTGGTTCCTGGCCCGAGGGAATGTGGACTTCCATGTGACAGGCATCTAAACCTCTGAATTTTAACAAAGATGGTAGGTGGAGTATTTTAAAGTGCTAAGGCAAGGGTGTGATTGAAGGAATATTCCTCAGTGTTAATATTACTGCAAAGCTGTCATATCCATTTGAAAGTAACAGGAAGTCTAGTGACCGACCAGAAGAGATTGCTTGCTTCCCTAGTGTGGCAAATAACAATGTAGTTGGTAGCTGTGCTGCAGGACTGTGCATGAGATGCAAAGCAGCACTTGCAACCCTTGACAAACATCTGTGTTTGTGACTACAAACGTAAAGTAAGTTTTAAATATCCTGAGTGTCAAAAGGACATTATTATTTTTAAAACATAAATGAGAGCTATTTTACATTTAATTTGCTCTTTTATAGCTATTCCCTATTTTTAGAAAAGCCTTTACTATTTAATAATTCTTCATGGATTTTCCGCAGTAGTCTTGGAGCAGACTTCAGAGACTGAACATGTGAGGAAAGGGCTCTTTTAGATCCATACAATTGGCATATTGTTATCAGTATTGTAGAGGTACATCAGTAGCAGATCTTTTCTGTCTATAGTCTGTCCATTCTGATAGACTTCTACCAGCAGCAGCTTCTATAAGAAACACTCCTCATAATTTTGTAACCTTTCCTTTAATAAAGAATTATTAATCTTTCCATACTTGGGGCAAAGGCCAGTGTGTACACTTTATTAGCTATTCAATAGATGAGTACATTCCACATAATCATTATTTTGTCATGGAATGACCCAGATTTCAGTTTTTCTTTGAATTTTTCCTATTTACATTTTCCATAACGTTTACATGTATACGTGCTAAAACACATTGATTTAAGGAAGACTCCCTCCCTAGAGTTTGGGATGATGATTATCTTCGCTTACCTTCCTTATGGGCTTGCAGAAGGTATCTCACTCTCAGGTGAGTGGCAAAATGAATATATGCAAGTTTATTCTATAAATTTAGGGAGTAGGTATTACTTGTGTCAAAGAGGGCATTAAAAGATGTATTTCCTCAACAACTTGGACTATATAAGAGTGTTACAGGTTTGTGAGGAGTAGTAACAGGACTAGATTTCTTGTAAATGAGCTGCAGGTATGAAATCAGGCTCTCTCAAAATGTACATGTGAACTAATGTATTTTAGAATGGATCTGTAGCAGTGTGTATCAGCATGCTCTCACTAATGTCAGTGGAGTTGGGGGTTTTTTATATGTATGAAGATGTGGCTTACAAATCATGGTAGTTACACAATCAAGATGTATAATCCTAATGCAAACATTCCATTCTGCCCACTAGACACTCAATGAGTGTGCGTATAGGCCAACACATATGTAGGGGAATTAAATTATGGGAAACCTAAACAAGTAGTTTGATATGTTAAAATATTTGCACTGCTGTAAAAACAAGTTTTGCTTTATGGGAGCGTCTCAGCACGTGGCTTTTTCCATTTCTGTTTTACATTGCCTATTAATATAAAATTATGATAAATATTACAGAACTGCAGGGCCATTGCATTATATAACCAACACATCTGCACATTGGTATACAGTGAAAAAGAATTTACAGTAAGATTCCTAGGTAGCTGCTCTCAGGATGACAAAGATTCTGTGTCATTTTGTTTATAAAGGCAACCAACCTCCCTCATTTCTCAAGTGCCTTCAAGAATGGCTTCTCAAGAAATCTAAACTTTGAATGACCTTAGGCAGGTCACCTCTGTTTTTCAGACAAAGGATTCTTTTGACTTTACCTCAGCTATTCTAATCCTTTCAGTTGTGTTTATTTGTGCCACTCCTGGGCACACAGTTCCAGCCAAACACTTCTAGTCTATTAAACTTCCCTTGTTTTGGGCAAAGCAGGCATCTCACATGCCATCCTGTACTCCCTAGAGCTGCATTGCAGTTGATTTCTTCTGGGTTATATTGTCAATTTTGGTTTGTTACTTCCTCACGAGGAATACTGTAGTTGTTCTTCAAGTGGGCTTCAACTTTTGCAAGTGTAAGTCTATGCAGCAAGCACAGAAATGCTTAAAACTTCCTTTTAAGATGGAGACCTCATAGCAGCCTTCCAGTATCTGAAGGGGGCCTATAGGGATGCTGCAGAGGAACTCTTCATTAGGGACTGTGGTGATAGGACAAGGGGTAATGGGTTCAAACTTAAACAGGTGAAGTTTAGATTGGGTATAAGGAGGAAATTCTTTCCTGTTAGGGTGGTGAGGCACTGGAATGGGTTGTCCAGGGAGGTTGAGAATGCTCCATCCCTGGCAGCGTTCGAGGCCAGGTTGGACGAGGCCTTGGGTGATATGGTTTAGAGCGAGGTGTCCCTGCCCATGGCAGGGGGGTTGGAACATGATGATCTTAAGGTCCTTTCCAACCCTAACTATTCTATGATTCTAAGTTACCCAGCTCCGTATAAACAGTGAATAATGGACAGTGTCTGTGATACATCTTGAGCAGTTAGCAAAATAGGTTGATACTCATATTTTTTCCTCTAAATAACCAAAAACAGGGAAGCAAAGGGGGATAGAAAAAGTCCCTAACATCAATCAAAGGTCTCTCGAATACAGTGAAATCTGAGGTAGTTCTTCTGGCCTGTGATACCAGTTACTGTACCTCTGCCCAAACTGTGCATGCCATTAGGGCAACTGAACTCTGCAGTGGAAAATTTGGTGTCTTTCCCCATTGTTGATAGCTGAGACTTATCTCTGTAGTAACATAAGCAGATGGTTTGGTGACCCTTTCTGCTGGAGGCAAAGGACATTCTATAGCAGGTAGCATTCCTTGCAGGCCCTACATAACACACTCTACCTTCCTTATGGTTGGACTCTGATCTTAAAGGTCTTTTCCAATGTAAATGATTCTTTGATTCCTGCAGAGGTAATTTTTGCCCTGAATTCTGAAGTCTCAATAGCTTTTCTGATTCTCGGTTAGATAGAAAATTGGGGGTACACCTGTGTGTGTTATTTGTTCCTAATTTTCTATAGCATAAGATGAGGTGCACTGTACTGGACTGTATTCACATGGTCTCATTCTACTTCTGGTGGAGTGATTGGGGCTGGCTGATGAGCAGGTAGGAAAGAGGGGCATGCTTTCTGACAGAACTAAATCATACAGTTCTCTAGCCCCCTATTCTCAAATTGGTTTTATTCTTTTGATGTCACTCTATCTGTCAGGAGAGTGAAAAAACACTCAAGATTTGGCTTTTTAGCTCCTCAGTTTTATGGGACAATGTGGCATCATGGGGATTTATCCTAGCTTGCAGGTGACCTATATTTGACCTCCTAGTACTTAATATAATCAGTGGAATGAGACCAGTTATGAATAACAACAGTAATAGAAACCCCACTTATTGCTTCATAAGCTTTTGTGTTAGTAAGAACTAAAACCACAAATATTTGCAGAGTACAAGCTATTCTTCTGTTAACTGCCACATTTTTACCTGCAGGTATCATGGCAATCCTCTTCTCTGGTATCGTGATGTCTCACTATACACACCATAACTTGTCCCCGGTTACACAGATTTTAATGCAGCAGACACTGAGAACTGTTGCTTTCATGTGTGGTAAGTGCTACCTGCTATTAATACCTAATATTAATAGTATAAAAGTATATTTGCCTGAAATGGTGATCCTGATGGGAGCAGCAGAGGTGTGAATTTTCTTTTAGCCATTTGTGTGTCAGTGATACATGTCTTTAAGAGAAGAATTCCTAGTGGGGGCTGGAAGGCAGCCAGAAGTCACCTTTCCTGCCATACTGGATAAAACATACAGTAAATCTCTCTCTCCCAGCCTGCAGGCTCCTCCTAAGATTTGCCACAAGATTGACAACCAGATAGAGATCTCTGACTCCTATATTCCTTTGGTCTATTTTTAGCTTTAGAAGATGGATTTTTAGCAGTGGTTTTTAACATTATTTTAATAATAGCTTCAAACTGAGAAGAAGTTTTCATAAGTAGAGATACAAGCAGCTCAAAGTCCAGAGCCTTTCCATTTCCTTTTGCTAACCAAAGTTTCAAAGAAATCACATGCTTATAACAAATATATCTTGTTTCTTTAGGGGATTTCGTCAATGTGTTCCATATTGTTCGTAGGAAAATGCATTTGGAACATAGTCAGGGGGTGACCTTGATGCAAACTGAACTTAACCACTTGTTACCTGAGCAGAGTAGCTCAGCAGGGTTTGATCTTACTCAATTACAAACGTTTAAAAGCACATATTAATTCAAGTCACTATAAAGGAGTTATTTAAGATACCATTTTGAACATGCAGACGTAAGTAGCCAGTACCCAGAGTCTCACCAAGCAGTGTCTTACGCTGCTACAGTCTGTCCAAAACCACCCTGTTTTTAACTGCTATTATGATAAGGAGCCTACCTTGCTGGGACTGCAGTGAACTGATGATACACCTGGACTCTGTGATTCTCTGATGATAATGGGTTGATGCTGTGGAAATAAAATGTTTGGATTACTTAGTCATTGTGCAGTGGTGGTACTATTTCAGATCTGCAGTATCACTTCCGGAGGTTGTTAGAATATATGAGGGTTGTTAGATCAGTGCAGTATTTTATTGCAAAGAGAGTCATGAACTGCTGCCACTTAAAAGAATTTAATGAATTGAATATTTTATCAGTATGTTCAACTTGCAGGATATGAGATTGTGTCTGACATTTCAGTTTTATATAGAATCCAACTCAAAGCTACAGAAGTCCATAATAGTCCCTCATGTAACTGTTATTCTACAGCTTGTCCTACATTCCTCAAGTTAAAAATTCCCCAGTCTTTAGAACAAGGTTTTTTAACCTTTGTCCATACTTACTACTAGTTTATAGTAAGTAAATTAAAATCCTACACACACTAAAGCGCTGTCCGCTGACAGCAAGTGGAAAAATCAGACCTTTTGTTTAATGCCGTTTGTGCCTACTTCGTGTATTCAGAAGTCAGGAAATACTGTTTTATGTACTGCATGTAATAACTGATAATAGGAGTAGGAAGGGTTTTATGTAACTGTTTATTTAAGATGTGATTTCTCTTTTTCAGAAACGTGTGTTTTTGCATTTCTTGGCCTGTCAATTTTTAGTTTTCCTCACAAGTTTGAGATGTCCTTTGTCATCTGGTGCATAGTAGGTATTTACTTTCATCCACCTTTTTTCAGATGCGTTCTTAGTATTGGGTGGGGGGAAACAACTTGCAGTTAATATGTTTTAGAATAGTTATGTTTTATAGGGGCTTATGAAAATACTTTTTTATATATTGAACAACATTAAATGATTATTCTTCACTCTGTGTTCACCTTCTTCAGAGGAAGTCCTTAACTCAAACCTTCTCTAATGTGTATTCATTCTTTGACTCCATTCTTAATTCATTTTGCTTCATTCTGTATTTCAGTGTAGCTTTATGTGCTGGCACTTTGAATTATGTTTCACATGAGGATTACCTACATCTATTGCTATTGTAATTCTGTACTAGAAAGACATGAAAAGTACATTTTCTTTTGCACAGTCAAAAGAGGGAAACATGAATCCACTTTCAGTCACGTACAACAACATATCCTAGTGCATTTTAGTCTATGGTTTAAGGCAAGAATTGCTACCTACAATTCACAGGTGGTGATATCAGCATGGAGAACTGCTCTTGCTGCATTACACCCAACTTCTTTATCTAATACAGATATCTAAGGTGTGACACTTCCTTCTATGTAGCGTTGCCCTCATAGGCATAATGTAAATTGTGTAATTTTGGGGTGATTCATAAAGGAAAACAGCACAGCCCTTCAAAGATCCTGATGACTAATTCTAGGATATTTACCTTATCAGAGTCTGTTTGTGGTGGAGCTTAAAAGCTTGTTTGTGAAAACCTTTGCTTTTCCGAGTTAAAGTTTTCACTGTATTTGTTAATTGTCTGCCATTAAATCAATAGTACATATTTTTCCCCTCTCAAAACATCATTTCAATGTGTGGTATATTTTGTAACCATACCCAGGGAAGCATTGAAAAACTCTATTACATGCTATTTGTTTGGCTTCTGGCCTTTTCTTCTGAGGAACTGGTCCATGGGGAGACAATAGAAATATCTTATGGCCTCCTAATGTTGCGCCAAGGGAATGATTAAAGAAGCTGAACTGAGGAGGACTTTTACCCAAAGTAATTCTTGGTCTCCCTGGAATGCCTCTTGGGTTTCATTTATTTATTACAAGTAAAGTAGTGCCTGCTCTCTGTCAGTGACAAGTCTGGTTTAGTTTCTTATAAGCAGACAAAACACTTAAAACCTTAAATTCCACATTGACCTATGCCGAGAGATTTCTTCATGTTAACTGAGCAGCATTTCTGCTTACAAGACTTGTGGGTGAAAAGAGCACATGCATCTGGGTTGCACAGGGCAAGGTGAAATTTGGACCTGCATGAATGTAACACATCAAACGGGCTTTTGCTTTTATTTCTGTTTTTCAGGTACTTGTTCTGTTTGGTAGAGCAGTGAACATTTTCCCACTTTCCTACCTACTCAACTTTTTCCGTGATCACAAGATCACCCCCAAAATGATGTTTATCATGTGGTTTAGCGGTAAGTTAGAGCTCAGATTATGGAGAACTGGAAAAAATGTGTCTTTTTCATTGCCTGAGCAACTCTGGGAGAAACCAGTTTACTATCTGTGGAGCACAACTCAGCTGAACATTTGCACTGTTCTCAAACCCAAGTGCAATAGGTAATTTCTTTTCCCCCTTTGTGATAGAGGGCTATGGGTGATCCCCACTAAAGCTTTTCTGTAAACAGTCTGCTATTCTTTCTAGGTCTAGCAACTTCACAGTTTAAACAACAGTATTTGAAGAGCTTAGACTCATTTTAGGGTGGTAACCAAATGATAGATGAATGGGCATAGTAGGACTGTAAAAGTCTTTTAAAGATAGAGAATTCCTGTTGGGCTGTCATGGTGCTGAGGACCATTGTACCTATTGATTCATGCTTCATTCATTTGCTGTTCTCTGATAAGGTTTACGTGGAGCAATTCCCTACGCCCTCAGCCTCCATTTGGGCTTGGAACCAATAGAGAAGCGGCAGCTCATTGGGACAACAACAATCATCATAGTATTGTTCACCATTCTGCTGCTGGGAGGAGGGACCATGCCCCTTATCAGACTGATTGACATTGAGGACTCCAAAGCGCGCAAGAGGAACAAGAAGGACATCAATCTTAGCAAGACTGAGAAGATGGTTTGTTTGGGTTTTTTAGTCAGAGGATCACTGATTTATTTTATTTTTTTTTACTAAAAAGTAAAATGAAAGCAGTGGAAAAGGCCAGGGTGGTAGGACAAAGCCAAGCAGTATAATTCTGACATATCCCAAAGACAGAGCTTGGGTACTCTTTACACAAAATAACTGTTTGGACAAAGGGAAGGGAGAGTGTCTCTTAACTCAGTCTAATTATATCTCCATCCACACAAATTAAAGTAACCCCTGCAAAAGTGTAAAGCAGATGATAGAGGACTGAGTCATACACAGAGGGAAAGTAGCTAGTACAGCGTGAGTCATGAATTAATCATAAAAGGCAGATGGAAATTGGAAGAAGCCGAAGCAAAGGCCATGAGAAGGTGGTATCAACAGCACCCCTCTGACTGCCTTTTATGCTAAAGCAGTTTCCAGCTAAGCAAGAGTACTGAAGAAAATTAACAGTCAGTGTGAAATCTCACGTGCAAAAGACTGAAATACGTGAAGTATCCCTGAGCATTTTCCTGTTTTTCCCCAAACCATCGAACTACACACAGGGATCTGAAAAACAGCTCCTCCTGGCATGAGGTTTCAAAAAACTTGCAGTCTTCAGTACTATCTTACTTTGTCCACGCAGGGAGGTATGTATAGGAAGGGCACAGGGATAGGGTGTGTTCTGACACAGGGCTTGTTTTCAGTAAAACAATGACATTAGTGTGGCTTGCTGGATAAAATCATTGTTCAGCTCACAAGAGAAAACCTGCGCTCTAGAAATCTGTTCTCAGCAGTAGCAGCAATACAGAACGTGGAACATTTGAGACCTTTTACCTTTCATCATGAAAAGAGAAGCTAAGTGGCTTTGGGAGTCAACAACTGGACAGATTTATATAGCTATAATCCCTGGTAGGCTGGGGTGATAATTTCCATCTTGTTCCAGCATGGGAAACAGTTGTGAGAAGGGAGAGCACAGAGCAGAGGGCTGAGCAAGCCAAAAGGATGACTGCAGCATTTCTCATGTTACTCCAATATGTGATCTTTCCAGGGAAACACCATAGAATCTGAACATTTATCGGAGCTCACAGAGGAGGAATATGAAGCCCAGTACATAAAACGCCAGGACCTCAAAGGGTTTATGTGGCTTGATGCCAAGTATTTGAACCCTTTCTTTACCAGAAGACTCACACAAGAGGTAAGTTTTTCCTGTTTTCTAGGAGAAAAGAACCCATGGTAGGGTTGGTTATCATTTCACTCTGTACCATTCAAAACTCATAGTGTAGCTGTGTAACTGCGAGTTAGATGGGAAGAGGGAGCTACCTAATACATTGTGCATATGTAGAGCAGCTGTAATGAAAAGCTGCACTGCAAAATTACAGGATGGATTAAATGAGCATCTCTCAGGGCTACCACAGTTAAACTCTAAAATGTGTATGGATTTATTGCCTTTAATCTTGCAGACTGCCCTGAACAGTATCAGGAGTTACTAGTTATTACTGCTGCTAGAAAAGCTGCTGCCACTCACACAGCTTTTCAAGTGCTGTCATACAAAGCTGCTGCCTTTTACTGTACATGGTCCTGTGCATTCTGGACCTGGGATTTGTCTGCAGAGTGCAGTTTATATCTGGGAAATACACACCAGCATTGCAACCTTCACCTTTAAGACTTCTTTCACTGGGAGACTAAGACTTTGAAGCTGTAAACGTAAAATGACACCTGACGGAACATGTAACTTAACACTCAAGTGGCTCTGAGAGGTGTAAATACTCCACCATTTTCACTCCCATGCCTCAGAAACCTGAGGCTCCTTAGCCACATTGGTTTGGGTTTTGTGGTTTTTTTTTCCACAATTTTTCCAGTTTGCCATAGAATTAAGCATTTTTGCTGTGGAGTTGATAAACTTGTGTGAAGTGTGCACATTCCATCATCCTAGACTTCCCAAACATACTGTCTTTCCTCTTGTTTTGTACCTTTCTTTTCAAAAGACCATTTTCAGCACTTTCCCACAAAAGCTAAAGGCATTTTTTGCAAAACCAAAAGGAACTCATGAAACCAGAGTAAGCATCTGATTCGTAGTTGGTAGCCAGAAGCATAGGCTGCCATCCAATTTGCAACCAAAGGCTAGAAACATAAGCACATGAATCACCAGCATCCCACTGGCCCTGGGAACACACATAGAGTAGTGAGACTCAGAGCCAGGCCATGCAGGCAGCATCAGGGTTGTTGAAACCCACAGAGCAGGACTGTGTAGAAAACACAGGTATAAAAATACCTGTCATCAAAAACAGCATCTGTGGCAATAATTACTGACTGAACACTTGATGAGTATTTTCAAGTCGGAAACAGAATTGCTTTGCATGCTTAGAGACCAGGAGTGGATTAATTCCTAAGGAGTATGTTAGACTAGTCTTTCTCTTTTGCTCTGACACACAAGTAGCATTGTAGCTAAGTAACAAACTGTGCTGGTTTGCTTTTGCCTCAGGACTTGCATCATGGGCGCATACAGATGAAAACCCTCACAAACAAGTGGTATGAAGAGGTACGACAAGGACCCTCAGGATCTGAAGATGATGAGCAAGAGCTGCTATAGGACACCAGGCAGGAGTGCAGTGAGTTTAGATCATTAGAAAAAGGGTTTAAGGATCAAGAGTCTGGCTGCCCAAAAGCTGAGAATGAACGTTCTGATTTCAGACATGTCTTGTGCTACATGTTTAGGTATAAAACCACAGATCTACTGTGCTTGATATTACTTGTCAGTGATGGAAACCATAAGTGTGAGACAGGGGAGTGAATGAAGAACCTTTCATTCACGTTTTACAGCACAGCAAATTTAATGCAGCCTATTGAAAAGCAAGAACATCTGCCATGAAAAGATCACATTGTTTAATGGGGGCATTATCTTCCTGTTATGAAATCTGTTGTACACATATGCTGAAGTACAGAGCCACATATGACTGCAAAACAGAATGAATTGCACTTTACTTTTTATCTATCTATCTATATATTCATTCACAGCATGGAGAATCTTGACAGTTTATACTGTGAATGTTTCAGCACTAGTAAGGGAATCTGACTGGAATAGATCTATAATTTACGGGATTTGCACATTATGAATCTGGAGAAGATATGTACCTTGACAAAAGCATATGTTGCACATACAAGAATGGACCTCTGGGAACTGGTGGTTTTGTCCTTTAAGTTCTTGATTTCTATTTTATGGGATTTCTTTTCTTTTTTTATACTGACGTATCAAACCCACAGAACTGATTATAGCATGGTTTGGGGAGCGGGGGTTGTGTCACATAGTACAGAACCACATTTGACACTGGAGGTTTAATGTCTTCTCTTTGGCTAAAGCCAGTTGCAGTTGGGTTTCTGTAATTGGCAGTTGCTCTTTGCTGGCACTTTGGCTTCAAATCTCAGAAAACAGCAGCTTTTGTTTCGCCTGATTCATGAAGTATCCCTAACACTCCAGAATTCGCTAGTGGAATGTTTAAGTTCTAGTGGAAGCCAAAGCAGTGTGCACACATCTGCAAGATCTAATCCAGGTACAAAGATACTGCACATTGCCGAAGCAGCCTCAGTTGGGAAGTGCCAAACAGCTTTCTTTAAGTTGTTGTTTGTTAATAGGGTTTTTCTCTGCTTACACTGTTTCAAAGACAGCAGTATCATTTCACTTCTACATGGCCTAGTCCATTTGCTCAGAGTTGTGTGCACCTACACAGACCTGCAGTGTTGGCTGCACATTTGCCACGGTTACATACACAGCAGTTTGCTCTTGCTGCCAACCCAAATCCCTCATTGGGCATTTACATATTCACTGTCAGAATGTGAATCGTAGTTCTGCATGTATAAATCTGACATGCCAAGTGCACATGTTTGCTTCTGAGAGCAAGACATATTTTTGGTCTGGTTTTGCTACCAAGGTTTGTAGTCAGCTGCTTACCACTGGGAGAAATAAAAGTTCAAGAATGTATTTAGAATCCTAAACCTGTGTTGTCTAAGCTGCTTTCACAGTAACACATCTTGCTACAGGACTCCCTTCTTCCCTTTCCCCATCCCATTTGTTTAAAGAGCTTAATCCCAGAGCTGAAACATGCACTGGTGGGAACAGGGCATGAAGTTGGCTTCTGGTGTTGCCCAGAAAGCCATTAATGCTTGCTTTATCCTTAGGAGAGGGTCTGTGTAAATCTCAGACTTTTTCTTCACCCTTCATGACAACAGTAGACTTAATTACATTTCCAGTTTCCCATCAGCCTCATTGGGTTTCTCAATGTGAACACACCAGCCCAGGAGCTGCTGGAAGGGCTCTGGGAGCTTCCCTTGTCACTGGAAGGTTCACACTGAACTAGGTGCTATTGCACGGGGCTTTGTGTATCCCTCAGTCATGCTGCAATGTAAATTAGCCTCCAATTTCCGTTGTTATTCCGGTGAAATGGGTCACCTGAGGAATAGATGGAGGCACGTCCCACTGGATCAGCCCTTTGGGAACTCCAGCAGGGCAGCTTGAGCGTTTCCTGCCCTCTGCTGGCAGTTAGCGATAGTGCTCCGGCACCTAATGAGCCATGTGCAGGGGATGACGCTACCCATGAAACTGCCGCAATTAACTGATACGGCTGGAACTAATGAAATCCCTCTGCAGCAATTACAGGGAAGAAAATTTGGATGGTTTAATTTAAAAGCAGCTATCCTCAAAGTTAATGAAATATTACATTTGTCAAAACTTGGAATTAAGACAGCTTTGTTCTCGCTCAAAATAGGCTCCAACCCTCCTTATTTGGGAACCAAAACAGGTTTTTACCATAGTGACCAATTTTCATATTCATTTATCAATACATTGACTTCTCTGTGTCAGTTATTTCAGGTTGGATTTCTTTGTTTCACGTAATATACTCAGAAAACAAAACCTCCATCTCCGTATTGCCTTGCAGTTACTTCTACAGAGTTTTCTGTTTTACCAGGCCAGGATTAAACTCTAACCCTCTTCCCACAAGTACCATCAGCCCCATCCTAACTTGGTGCCATCTGTGCAAGAGTAAACCTGATTTTATTACACTCCCTTAAAAGTAGAGGCACCAGGAAGTACAATGGATATTACTATTTGCAGAGCCCTGATGTTCTGTCAGACAGCAAACCCAGTGGCTGCTCCTCCTGATGACCAAGGCCCCATGCAAAGGAGAAGGAGGGGGAATCCTAGGACTCCAAGAAGTTATTTGCCCATGTCTTGGGCCCATCCCATTCCCCAGACCAGCAGGGGCTTTCACCAGGTTTCACTCCACACCTCAAGGACAGCAAACCCCTGCTGCATCATCACTGCCAGCTCACAGGCACAGTCTGTGCCTCAGTTTCCCCACTAGCCGAGATGCCCCCTGCAAAGCCAGTGAGCAGCCTTGTGAGCTGCTAAAGCTATGGTCAGACTGGCCAGGCAGGGCTGGGATGCTGCTCTGAGCATGGTCCAGGCTTGGTCCAGCACCAGCCACCCCTGGGGGTGAGAGCTCCCAGATCTCATCCACGAGACAACAGAGGATGTGATGTGGCTCCAGCATGTCCCTCCTGCAGACACATCACTGCTCATGTGTGCTCCAGTGTGACACATCTGGGGGCACCCTGCATCCTGATACAGCTGTGACAGTCACAGATGGAACAATCCTTAACACAGCTCTAGGTTACATTCAACCTGCATCATCTTTGAGCCCCACCTCTGCCCTGGCCCCAGCCTGCTTGTGACTCACCAGCCGAACACAAACACCTCCAGCTCCCCGTGCCTCTGTTCCATCATGATGGAGATGTCATTTTTAACTCAACCACACCAAGAGACATTTAGCTTAAACATCAAAGCACCTATGGGCTGTTTGTGCAGCCTGGCTTAAAAGCTGCCATAGGAGGACCAAAAGCAGTGGACATGATGTGCCATTCAGGAGATGAACCTTTGGAGACCAGGGCTCTGAGCTTTGTGTGTTAAACACTCTTTTCCTGCACCCTGCAGACCAGGTCACCCATGCCAGAGAGGTTTTCACTCATGGGGCTGCATTTAAAGCTCAATGGCACAGACTGTGGCTGAGAGATGCCACTGGGGAGAATGGGCCACAGGAGGTGGCACAGCCAGAGCACAGACACCAGAGGGCAAGGTGCACTGTCAGCTTTGTGCAGCCGATGACTTTGAAAGTACGAAGGGTCTGGATGCGAGGAGTCTATCTCAGACTGCACTGTTAGTAACTATACACTGGTTATGTATAGATCAGTGAGGCATACATGTCTGTGCTTGCCTCAGCACCTTCAGCCTCAAGAGACCAATTGAGCTTGGAACAGGATGTCTATGTGAAAATAAAGCCATTGCTAGTGAAAGGCACAAGTGGCAGCACCAAATGTGAAACACAGCAACCACAGCACCCCTGCCCAGGCACCAAACCCAAACCAGGGCAGCCCTGCCTTGTTCATCCACCAGGGCCAGGCTCCACCAAGCAGCCACACAGCCCCGCAGCCCCATCCCACCCACTCAGAGCAGATGATGAGGCTGCAGCAGCACCAGAAGCTCAAAGAATCAGTTCTCACACCCAGCTATCAGCCCCCAAACCCTACCCAGCACAGACCTACCTCAGCACCAAGGGTGAAGCCACATCCTTCTCACAGCCACAGCCTCACCTCACTGGAGCTGCTCATGGGGGTGGGCTCTTAACCCCATGCAATTGGTGAATTGGCAGCACCTGATGGCACCATTTGAAGCTGGGGACACTGATTGCATCAGCACCTGCTGTGCCATGGCCCAAGGAGGGCTCCAGCCTGGCAGGCAGGAGGACGTGGGTTACAGCAGCCCCAGGTCATGCTGGGGAGAGCCCCTGGACCTGCTGGAGGTAATGAAAATGGTTGGGATTTGCTAAGTGCTTGCCTGGACTCCCCAGCAGCAGGAGCATCTCTATGAGTGTAAGTTAAAGCCCACCCAGTGTTCCACTATTCAACGTTGGCTGTTCCATCACCAGACTACAGATGAAGGTTCTGATCTGGGGTTTCCCTGCAGCAATAAAGGATGGGGGAATTTGCAGGTTATTTCTTTTCCCATCTCCAGCTGATGCCAGGACAGCAGTATGTTTTAGGCAGCAGGGAACAAAGCAGCTGTAACCAAGGCGGGACCAGGTGCTGCATCAGTGGCTGGGCCACGCCATGACCCTGAGCCCATCACAGCCCAAAGCCCCAGCCTGACTGGGGTCTTGTCCTTGGCCCCATCCCAGGGTGGCCCTGAGGGGCTCCACGAGATGGTGGCAGCTTTTCATATCCGTGTCCTCTGGTGGGAAACCAGCCCTTGGTCACCTTCCTGGAGGCTCCTGTCCACCCAGGGCAGCGATGGGCAGCAGCCACAGCCAGGTTTGGCTGAGGAAGGAGTTTGCTGGCCCCAAGTCCCCATAGCCCTGCCAATGGGCCATGCCCTGTCTCTGTGGTTGCTCACTCACAGCAGCAGCGCTCCCATCCCGACCGCGCGCAGCAGCAGTGAGATCCCCATTTACCCCAGAGCACGGCCGCTAACACATAACTGAGCCAAGTCAAACGCCAGTCTTGCAGGAGCGAGTTTACTTTAACAATGCACAGTATCTGGAATGCCATGACCAGCAAGCAGTGACCCCAAGTGATTCCCTTGTGTGCCAGAGTGCCCTGGAGATGGGGCAGCCCCACGCTGTGGGTTCAAGGGCAGTGACCCAGTGACCTGCATGCACCCTCACTGGAAACCCCGTCCTCCCTCCTGATTTTAATCCCTTCCTTTGCAAACACGGTCCATGTTGGGGCTGGGTGCAGGTTTTTGCATGACAGGAATAGGGGGCAAAGGCAGGAGCGTTGCTCCCTGCGTGGCCCTTCAGTTACTACTTGGCTCTTGGGCATAAACCCTGCCCCAACCGCCTGCAGGTATCACACGTGGGCAAAACCATCCTGGGAAGATGCAGGAGCACCCCAGAGGTATCGAGGACCCTCTCTGGTCACAGGGAAATGGCCAGTTCAAGTGGATCAGGGGAAACAACCAAGGGACAAAAGCAAGAGCATGACTGCTGTGTGCTAATGAGAGCTGTGCAGCAGCAGCTGGTAGTGATGGCACACACAGCACCCTTGCACGCAGCAACCGCCCTCCCCAGCACAGAGCTCACACTGGCTCCTTTGCCTCCTACTCTGGAATTGAGCCCAAACACTGAGGCCCAAAACCCTCAGTATTCCTCAAGCTTAGGTTTAAGTTTGTAGCTTAAATGAATCTGTTGTTTGTTGCCCCCCGCCAAGAGCATCCCCTTCCCTCTGTGTTTCCTCACACCCTGCAGCTATCAGGTGTTCCTTGAGGTGCTGCGAGTCCTTGGGAGAGGACCCTGCTGTGTCTGTGCTAAGCAAAGGCAGTGACAGATCCTGGTTCTGGAGCGATGGCTAAAACCAGCACTGTTGGTGTCTGGAGAGAGGAGGGGGAGCTGGGGGTCAGTGGGCAGGCAGAGCACAGGCAGTGATGGCAGCGGGGCAGCGGCTGTTTCCCGTGTCCATGCAGACACAGGTCACTATTCCCACGTAGCACATCCACGATTTAATGCTGCAGCTCTGGCAATGGGTTGTGGTGCCATTTCATTCATTAACCAGAGACAACGTAAAGCACTCCCACAAGTAACTGCCTGGCTGGGTGCTGGTGGGCAGCAACTTTCCTACCACTGCTGCTGACTCTTCCCATCCCATCCCTTGAATGCACTGATTCATACCTGGGACATAACCAGCCTCTCTCAGCACTGTCTCACTCAGCTTCTGCCCTGTCTCCAGGATGATGCTTGGCCACAGATCTGCAATTCCCTGCCTGGAGAGCATGACCTGCAGCTGCTATTACTCACACCAGGATTATTCCAACCCCAAACCTTACTCTAAGGACAAGCTCCCATTTCGATCTATATGATGGTGGTGGGTTTGTGTTCAAACCGAGGGAGTGGGGTTAGGCAGCCTGCACAGAGGGGTCTCTTGAGAGGTATATCGAGATGCTTCATAATCCCAAGTGAGGTAGCTGAGCAGCACCGTCCTGCTCCCGTTTGGGAAAGGACATGGTCAGCAGGAGCTGGCGCTGGAGGTAGGACACCTCTGGGGCCCTCCCTGCCAAGCACAGTTTCTTAAGACAACCAAGTTCCTACTTGGTCATCTGAGCACCAGGATGGAGAAACAAAGGGCCCAGAGAGCAAGGCACGGGATAAACAGGACCCTGGACTTGCCCCCTGGGCCGATCCTAGGCACTGGGGTTTGTTTTGTTTGGTTTCTCTGAGTGCAAAGCCTCGGCTCAGAGCTGCAAGAGCCAGAGCAGAGGAGGAGGCAAGGGTGGTGTTAGATGTCACTTCATCTGCAGAACATGATGGGGACCCACTGGATACACAGGTGAGAGTTGGGTTTGGGTTTGTCCCCCAGTGCCCTGGTGGGACGCAGCGCGGCATGGCCCGGCTCAGAGAAGGTCTTTCATGATATCGGATGGCAGAGCTTCCCCCACCACGTTCACAGCGCTCAGGCCCGACCTTCTCCTGGTGACAAGCACCATCACCTGCACCGTCCTCTTCAGCCGCGGCGGGCACGCAGCCCCATCGGCCAGCACGGCCAGGGGCGCGCAGCGGGGCGAGGAGCCGGGCACCCGCGCGGGCTTGTGGCACCTGGGGTAGTTACTGAAGCACTCAAAGGTGTCGTTGCAGCTCCTGCAGGCCCCGGGGCGGTCCCCGAAGCCCGGGGATGGGAAGGGCTGGAGCGCAGCGCTGGGGCAGCCGCAGCAGAGCAGGGTACGCACGGCCTGGAGGAGCACCACGTCCTTGGAGAGGAACTTGTGGAAGTTGGGCTTGAAGAGCAGGTACACCAGGGGGTTGTAGAGCGTCGAGGACTTGGCAAAGACGGCCGACAGCACGAAGGCAAGCGCTGGCACCTGGCTGGCATCACCCAGCACTGCCCACAGGGCAACGATGGCGTAAGGGGTCCAGGCAGCCAGGAACCCCAGGCACACAGCGATGCTCAGCTGGAACAGGAGGAGATGGTGGTGCCGTGAGCCTCCTGTGCACCTGTGGGATGCTGAACCCCCCCAGAACTCAGCCATGTGCAACAGGACCCCGAGCGGTTGGTCACATCCCAAAGGAAAGGTGCTGAGCCCTTTTGACCCATCCCACTGGAGCCCTGGTGTGTCAGGCATCAGCAGTGACTCAGCATGTCCCAGTGGGGTGCATAAACCTGCACTCACTTCAGGCAACTCACACCCTGTCCCACCTGGGAAACACGGGAATTGTCTCAGCCCAGTGGGTGTCAGATGGGTACAAAGGATCTAGACTTGGACCAGGCCAGCTGAGTCCAACAGTGCTTTGGGAGCAAACTCCCTCCAGCAATCTGTATAGAATCATAGAATAGTTAGGGTTGGAAAGGACCTTAAGATCATCCAGTTCCAACCCCCTGCCATGGGCAGGGACACCTCACTCTAAACCATCTCACCCAAGGCTCTGGCCTTGAACACTGCCAGGGATGGAGCATTCACAACCTCCCTGGACAACCCATTCCAGTGCCTCACCACCCTAACAGGAAAGAATTTCCTCCTTATATCCAATCTAGACTTTCCCTATTTAAGTTTTAACCCATTACCCCTTGTCCTATCACTACAGTCCCTAATGAAGAGTCCCTCCCCAGCATCCCTATAGCCCCCCCTTCAGATACTGGAAGGCTGCTATGAGGTCTCCACGCAGCCTTCTCTTCTCCAGGCTGAACAGCCCCAACTTCCTCAGTCTATCTTCATACGGGAGGTGCTCCAGCCCCTGATCATCCTCGTGGCCTCCTCTGGACTTGTTCCAACAGTTCCATGTTCTTTTTCTGTTGAGGACAGCAGAGCTGCACACAATGCTCCAGGTGAGGTCTCATGAGAGCAGAGCAGAGGGGCAGGATCACCTCCTTGGACCTGGCATCCAGACCAACGGAGAGGCTCTGGAAACGGGCCAGGCTCAGACCCCTCCTCTAAGCAGACACAAACCTCTCCTTGCAGGCCAGGTTTCTGAGCTGCTTTCTTTTACATTTGGGCTGTTTTAAAGGATATCCACCTTTTCTTTTTGACATATCCTCGGTAAGTTACAGCTCTGCTTGTAGCCCGGGGGGCAATGACTCACCAGGCTGCCTTGGTGGTCTTTCCCAACGTAGCTGAAAATGAAATCTCCTCCACCTGATGGCTTTAAATGAGGAGAAACGTGCTGTTCCCACCACTGATACAAACACCTGGAGACGGGGTCCTGCCTCCTTCACCCCCAGACCCCGCAGCACCCCGAGGCCTCCCCTACCTTCACGACCAGGCTGTGCACGCTGCGGGCTCTGCGCTGGGGGGACGTGTGCTGCCGCACGGCTCTGCGGGACCCCCGCACCCTCCAGAGGATCAGCGAGTAGGAGGAGAGGATGAGGAGGCAGGGGAGAAGGTAGCAGAAGATGAAGAGGGCGAGGATGTAGAGCGTGGCCTCCCTGCTCGAGGCGTTCCACGTGATGCAGCAGGCTGTCCCGTAGGGCTCGGGGCCGTAGCTGCCCCACTCGGCCAAGGGGGCCGTGGCAAACATGAGGGCATACACCCAGATGCACAGCAGCAGCACTCCGGCGTGGCAGGGAGAGAACTTGTTGCCTACAACACAGGGATCAGGGTGAGGATGGGTTCCCATGGGTAAAGGGGAGCAGAGAGTGCGGTTGGGGACCCTGAGCTGCCCAGGCACAGGGGATGGGGCCGACTGCTGTGGGACGCAGACAGGCTCCCTGAGCAGGGCAGTGCTGCAGCCATGGAGCAGGCAGAGCCATGCCAATGCCCTGGGGTGCACAGGAACCCCTCCCCCAGCTCTTGGGGTGGCCAGAACAAGGAACCAGGAGAAACATGAGGGTTTGCCATAAACCACAGCAGGGCAAGAGCCTCTCTGCTTGGGGAGGAATTGCTGGAGGTCGTGTGGCCACTGGTGGAATGTGGGGGGACAGAGAATCATAGAGTGAGCCAGGCTGGAAAAGACTTTGAAGAGCATCAAATCCAACCATTACCCCAGGACTACTAAAACCACCTAAACCGTGTCACTAACAGCCTCGTCTACATGTTTTTGAATGCTTCCACTGTCATGGGAAGGATCTTTTCCTCCCTGGCAGACTGAAACCCTGGGAGAGGATGGGTTTCTTCCTTTCTGCCCCATCCCCTGTCAAATCTAAACGTCCCTGATCTTCCGAGAGCTCAGTATAAAGGGCTGCACCTTCAGCCATACGTGGGAGTAACGTTTTTCTTTGAAACCAAGCAATTAAAACCACACTGAAACTAGTAATTTCCTCATGGTCAAAGGAGTGGGGTGTCACAGGGGGACAAACTCCATGTGCCAGGCTGCCAGCACCAGCTAATGTAGAGCAGAACCTGCGCAGGGAAAAGCCGTGGTACCCAGGCTGCCTTTAACAGCCCACTTTAACCTTTATCTTTCCTTCCACCTTTACAGTGATCTCCTGAGCTGTTGTGTTGGCACATAAGGGAGGTACCAGCTCTCCAGCATCATCCTTGAGGCTGCTGCACAAAGCAGGTTGGTGGCCAGCAAGAGCCGCAGGCTCAGGGCAGGCAGCAGCAAGCCATGGGAGAGGGGTGAGGATGCGCCATGCGGGCTGGTCTGGAGATCAAACCCATATCTTTGATCTCACATTCAGTTCCTGGTTTGGCCTTTAACCCAAAGTCTGTTCTGAAGATAGCTCCTAGATGGAGGGTTAGCAGCTGGGCTGAGGAAGTTAAGAAGCAGCTCCAAACAAGAGGAGCTGTAAACGTACAGGGGCCATCCCCATGTCCCCTTGCTCCCTCAGGTGCTCTCTGCAGTGCAGGCCCTCTCCAAAGAGCTGGTGCCCAAGCTTAGAGCTGCAAACACTGCATTAGCTTTGCAGAGGAGGTCCTGGTAAAAACAGGGCTACAGAAGTGAGCTGGAGCTGAACACTGCAAACCCAGCCCTTCTGTAGTAATTATTTCAGTGAATTAAATACATTTGGCCTGTGGCTCTCCCACCTGGGACAAGGGAAAGCAGCTCTTCTTGCAGTGCCAGAGCTTGTGGCTTCCCAGAGGCAGAGTCTGCTCTAGTCTAAGCACAAGTCTGATGTGATGGAGCATGTCTAGAGAAGCGTAATTGTGCTGGTGAAGGGTCTGGAGCACATGTGTGATGAGGAGCAGCTGAGGGAACTGGGGCTCTTTAGCCTGGAGAGAAGGATGCTCATGGGAGACCTTGCTCTCCACATCTGCCTGAAAGGTAACAAGCAATAGGACAAGAGGAAAAGGCCTCCAGTTATGCCAGGGCAGATTTAGACTGGAGATTAGGAACAACTGCTTCACCAAAAGGGTTGTCAAGCCTTGCAACAGGCTGTCCAGGTATTTAAGTGATGTGTCACTTACTGACATGGTTTAGTGGTTTAGTGCTGGGTTAATGGTTGAACTTGATGATCTTAAGATTTTCAGGTCTTTTCCAACCTAAACTTTCCTATGACCCTGTGTATTGACTGGGAATAGGCTGCCCTAGGGCAGAGTCTTCCCAGAAGAGGTGGATCTGGCCCATAAACCACAAAGGTTTACGTTAACAGAGAGGGGTGTGAGCGCAGATCAGATAGCGCACCAGCACTTACCGTATGCTGGGTAACAGACCTTCAGGCAGCAAACCGTGCTGAGCACCGTCAGGCTGCTGAGGCTGCACAGCCCAAACAGGACCCCGCAGAAGGCGTAGAGGGTGCAGACGGCCTGGTTGAACAGCCACCTGCAAGGGGAAGCCTGCGGTAACCCCAGCCCTGCCCCTGCGCCCGGGGCCATGGCCACAGCCCCTGCCACCCCCTGCGTGGGGATGCTCACCCTGGTCCCTGCTCTGGGTATTTCCCATCTGCTGGTCCCACAAAGCTGGCCCTGCATGGGGTGGCTGTAACAGGCTGCACATGCACCAGCTCCTGACTGCACCCAAAAGGGGGCGTGATCTTGCCCTGATTTGTTCCCTGAGCATCCCAGTGATGAGCACAGATGGAGCCTTGGGTACAGGAGTGCCCTGGTGCACACCAGCACGCATCACTGCGGTGCCCACACCGCATGGGTGCCAGCTCAGAAACCCACCACCAAACCCCTTTAACAGCAGTGATAAACCTGAGGGACAGGAACAGCAAAGCACCCTGCTGTGGGATGGATGCCTGTGAGGTTACCCAGTGCCCCAGCACCCCCAGACTGACCCCATGAGCCCATACATACCCCCTGCCAGGAATCTCCCCATTTCAATCCCAAAACACACCCAGGGCTGTTTGCCAGTACAGAGGTACCTGTGTGCAAAGAAGGATGAGGCAGCCAAGGGGAAGAGCGTCACTGTCATGCTCAGGTCGCTGATGGCCAGGTTGACGATGAAGAACTCAGCAGGCTTCAGCATGGACCTCTTCCGATAGGCCACCAGCAGGAGCAGCGAGTTCCCAAAGAGGGACATGATGCCTGCGGACGAGGCAGAGGAACAGTGCTGTACATAACAGAGCCGGGAAGGGAGCCAGGATCATCTTGAGATGTTTGGAAGCAAACACCGGAGATGTCTACAGAGGGTGGAAAGGGCTCCAGGCTTCCCTGTCTGAAGTGGGCTGAGCAGGGGAGCTCGTGGGACCTGCAGAGCTCTGTGAGCACATCTGGAGCTGCTTTACATTGAATCTGATCCCTTCCCCTTCCTGAGGTCCTACAGAGGCTTTTGGTAGGAGGGCAGGGATGGGATGAGACTGCAGTGGGCTCCGGGTGCAGGATCTGGCCGGAGTCACTTCTTCCAGCTGGAAGGAGCGAGGGGGCACTTCCTTCCAGCTAGATAAATAACGGGAGCTTTGTGGGATTTCTCTTCTGATGTGAGGCCAAGGAGCTGGGCCCCTTCGTCTCTTTAATTTCTTCCTGGCAATGTCACCCCTGTGGGTCTGTGTTATCCAGTATCAGGGTAACAAAATAAACAGCAAGAAAGGCATCGTGAAGATCAAGGAAAATCCAGACTAAACAAAAGCAGGCTCTTTGCTATTCACGTGTTTCAAACAACAGCAGCGATTAACATTTTATAACGAGAGCTTTCTCACCTTCTTCACCATGTAACTGTGCTTTCATTGAAAAGGGGTTTCATTGCCCTCAGAAGGGGAATCTTTGCTGTTCTTGGGGCAGGTTGGGTGGGATGAGAGTTTCTCCCTAATGGTTTAGATTGTAAATCAAATGCCATGGTAAGAACCAGCTCCCAGAGCTGCTGAAATTCCCCTCAGGAACAGGATTCCCACACAGAACCTGACCAAATCCAGAGCTTTGGAGGGTTTGGAATGGCTGGAGGGTAGAGCACTGAGGTGTTTGTCCTTCCCAGCCTCAGGAGGCATTTTTCCCACAGAGCCAGTCTCACATAAGTACATTTTAGTGGCTGTACTAACACTTTGGAGCTGCAGGTGCCCAGAGGACTGTTCACAGTCCCAGTGATGTGAGCATCCCTTGGCTTCCCCATCCTCACAGGCATGAAACACTCTTGGGAGACAAAATGCTCAGGGCTAAGAAAACTGGGAGGCTTTTCTTTGCCCATCATTCACTTCTGATCCACACCAGCCACATTCAGGCTACCTCAGAGCACATCCTAGCCCCTCAGCTTTGCCTGCTGGCCATTCAATGCCGCTAGCTCCAAATCACAGGACATTCACCAGCACCTTCTTAAAGCAAGGACCAGCCTGAGGTCTAAATCACCTTCAATAGTCATGAAGCTGTCAATGCTAACAGAGCCCCTACCCATCTCACTTCAGGTGGCTGCAGTAGGAGTTACAGCATATTCCTAAAAGGTTGTTCTTCAGCTTTTCAAACACTTAAAACCATTACTGGTACTTGCAATTCCCTGGAGAGGGGAATGCAGCCACCCAGCTTGGGCAGATCATCCTTTATGAGCAATGTGGGAAGGGCCATTCTGATGCTGCTGCTAATGACTGGACACCTCTGGAAGCACCAGTGACTACAAAAGACCTGACTGTCTCTGGCAGGCAGGCACCCGGGCCGCCCGCAGCAGGGACACAGGTATAACAGGGTGTCTTTCCTTACCAAAGACCAAGTAGAGCGTGCCAAAAATCAGGTCTTCTCTCTGCGATAAGGTGGAGATGAACAATGAGGTGTTGGACGCATCTCCCATCTGCAAAGCAAGATACAAACACAAGTGAGAGTGAACGCTGGCTAAGGAAGGAGTGAGGCTTCCGAGGGCAGCTCTGTGACATGCTCCTGGCACTGCACTACAAGGGAGCCAGCAGCACACACCCCGCATGGCCCCACCGCTGCAGGAGGTGCTGGCGCAGCGCTGACCGAACCGGCTGGGCAGGGGGCTGATGACAGGATCAGGCTGTAATCTCACTTGATTACTGCTCATTCACTTACAGGTTTTACTGATTAGCATTGGCCTTTGGGTCTGAATCTTCTCTGCGAGTCTCCCCCATGCGCTGACCGCAGCAGATGCTGTGTGTTTGCACATAGGGACCGGCTGCTCAGAGCTGGAGGCTTCATGTCTGCAAAGTACCCACCTCTTCCAGGCTTGTGGGGTCCTTCCCATGCCTCCACCATCCTTGTGTCCACATCAGCAGAGAGGCTTGGCCCAAGCTCTCTTTACGATGCAGCCAGGAGCTGTTCCTGCGCCATCCCAGCAGCAGTTTAATTGCCTCTACTGTGAGTTGCGCACTGTGTGAGAAGGGCCATGCAGACAAAGGGACTTGCAACAAGCTGCTCATCGAATCCCAGGCCCAGGAGACCCCACAGCCAGGGACACAAAGGGATTGTCACCCCCAACATCACTGCTCCTGGTGGGGACCTTCCTTCTTCAGCTGTAACTAAATGTGATCCCTGCTGTGCGGTGCAGGCGGTGAAGAACGTGAGGGTGAACACGTGTATTAACATAAAGAGAATAGTAGTAAAAAGTCATTCCCTTTCTCAGGGTGCCTGACTCAGTCATTGAGTTTTATCAGTATAATTAGTTTCCCTGTTATTTTGTGCAGCTGAGACAAAGGCTCCCAAGTGCTCAGGAAGTTAATAGGGGGTAGTAGAGCAGAACAGCAGACGTGTTTCAGGATATTCACTCCCTTCACTGATAACAAATAAATGGAAAAATATTGTGTTCAGGTAAAATAAAGAAGATGGGGAGAGAGAAAATAATGGTTTAATTATATGTTCCAATAGCTGTTGAGTTGCTTGCTGGGATAGTTAATGCATGCAGTATCCATGCCTTCTTCACCAAGGTCCCTCCCTCTGTGCTGCGGGAGAACTGAGAACTTGCCCTGCCAGGGAGCAGGGGCACCATGGCTCAGTTTAACCCTCACAAGTGCCAACAGGCTGCTTATTCCTGCCCCATCACCTCATCTTCACGGGGACACACTGAGCTGGACCAGGGAGTTAGCCTTATGGGGAGGAGGTGAACAACAAACTGCTGTGAGGTGGTTTGGGAGCTATCACATGGACCAAGAGCCATGGGAAATGGAACCCCAGTTCTGCTGACATGGGCTTCACAGAGCAACTCCCCTTGTTGTCTGTACCGACGTGAAAATGCCCACCTCTCATCCAAGGCTGCATTCAGATAGATGGAGCTATTTGAAGTAATGAGTAAACTAGCTTTGAGTGTAACTGTATTTTAAGACACTAATTTAAGGCTCTAATTGGCGTTCAATTGGTGCCAAGAGATCCTGTCAATAGTTTCTGTGTTACTGGCCCATACAGCCTAACACAGATGGGTAATGGTTCCTCTGGTTTACTACTTCATGGCTTTCTTGGGTTAGGTGGGCACACAACCTATGGCATGTTTACAGCTCACATTTACTACTTTTCAGTGAGCTTATCTCAAGCATTTGATGTTAAGCAATGAAATACTGTTATGGCTGGTGCCTACACACCATGAGTACGATGGAGTTGTCTCTGCAGACCAGGCAGGACGCTGGTTAATTCTTTTGTTAATGGGAGCTGCAATGGTCATCCGTGCTCCTCAATTCACTTTGTTGAACTTCAGGCCTCTCTGGATGGTTCCTGCTCCCCTTGTGAACAGAGATGGTGGAAAGCAAGAGAAGTGGTCTCTGCAGAGCAGTCCTGGCCAGTGTGTGCTGGACAGAAAGAGGTGTCATGCACTGAAGACAGAAGGAGCAACAGCAGCCCAGGTTTTGCCTTGCTCGCTCTAGTAGACATGGCCAAAGCCCTCGTGCTGGTGGCAGGCTCCTTGAGACCTGTTCTGCCCACGTTACTGGTTTGACAGCTTGGTGCAAATGTGATTTTAAATTAAGGTCCATTTACATCCTTCTACTCAGCCCTAAGAGGCACTCGGGAAGCTGGGCACCACTCACCTCCTTCCCCAGCTCATTTACTGGCTTTTAGCAATGAGAAAGAGGTTCTGCACTGACCCCATCCTCCTGCCTGGGTCTGGGAAGCCTGGTCTGTGGCACTGTATGGACATTGTGAAGGCAAACACACACAGCCTGGTTGTCTAACTGCTTCTGTCTGGGTTCCCTACTACAAAAGAGCTTCCTGCCATGAACTTTGCTTTTGGAGAAACGACCACCGCAGCAGTGATTTTTCCAGTCTTATGTTGTGCAGAACAAAGCATTCATTTAACAGCAGCGTGTGCTTTACCAGGAAACTGAACTCCAGCTGTTATCTGCCAGGGGTTTCATATGCAAGCAACTATTGGGAAAAGCACCAAGTGGTGTGACTGCCCAGGCAGGCTGACAGCCACAAGGCTAGTTTGTACTTGAACATACCAAACATCTCCTGTCCTGTCACCAGTACATACAAATACAGCACCACAGCTTTGCACGCACTGTATTCTGTACACACAGTTTGATGTTTGGCCATTTAATTCATTACCTTTCAATAGCTGCCTGCTAAAATATGTAAGGAAAACCTTAACATTTGCATCTTACAGGCTTCCCACTTTAAATAATACAGTGCTGGTGTTAGAGCAGCAACTTGGCTTGGAGGGCTTCTCCTTGCCAACCCAGCACACATGTGGTAGATGCATACTGATCTGTTTTTCCATACACTTTCCTGGCTGGTGCACATTGCTTTCTCAGTTCTGCTTTGGCACTGGGGTGTCATACATTCCAATGTGCTCATTTACAAGGTACAGTTCATGGGCATGAACTTGCTTTCCTTTGTTAGCATAACTCACAAGATGCTTGCGTTACTCCCTCCCTACCCTCTCCCTATTCATCTCACAGGGTCACAGCACAGAGAACTGAGCCCTCTCAGCGTGGCCCCACAGCAGCAGATGCTGCTCGTGAGAAGTCACTGTAACCACCATCCGCCCGCTTGGGCTTTCCAGCTGCTCCATGCAAACTCCTTGGCCATCCACTTAAACATCTACACAGTGTAAGTACCAGGGCACTCAAGGTGCGGGTCTGAGCAGCAATGAGCTGACATCCACCCTGAGCTCTGCCTAGAGGGAAAAAAGTTTAGGCAGGAAACTACCCCAGCTCATATTCTCCATTGCATGGAGACCTCATAGCAGCCTTCCAGTATCTGAAGGGGGCCTATAGGGATGCTGGGGATGGACTCTTCATTAGCGACTGCAGTGATAGGACAAGGGGTGACAGGTTAAAACTTAGACAGGGGAAGTTTAGATTGGATATAAGGAGGAAATGCTTTACTGTGAGTGTGGTGAGGCACTGGAATGGGTTGCCCAGGGAGGTTGTGAATGCTCCGTCCCTGGCAGTGTTCAAGGCCAGGTTGGACGAGGCCTTGGGTAATATGGTTTAGAGCGAGGTGTCCCTCCCCTTGGCAGGGGGTTGGAACTTGATGATCTTAAGGTCCTTTCCAACCCTAACTATTCTATGATTCTATGATATTAACGTGGGGAGCTGCACACCATCCCTCAGCCTGCTCTGGGTATTCACTGCCTCATCTTTCTGCACCAGCACTGCACTAAAAGCACCTCAGTGCTTGGCTTGCCAGCTGCTCTCAGGCAGTCCCTTACAGGTTTATGCTGAAGGTGACTGTCCCCTCTCTGTGTCCTCAGCGTGACTGATGGCACCCGCAGCTCTGGGAAGCTCCTCCCTGCCTGCCTGGCCGAGGCATGGGATGTGCCGGTGTCCATCCCATGGAATCCGGGTGCCTTTTCCTATCTGCTCCCTGGGGGCTTGGGGAATCAATGAACAGGAGTCCCCAGCAGAGCCAGCCCATCCCAGATGAAGACCCCAGCACAGAGGTGAGCTTTAAACTGTCCCTCCTCGCCCTGGTCTGTGCTGGGCCCATCTTCCACCAATAACAAAACTGTTGTTACCTGCTCCGGGGGCTGCAGCTCCAGGCCCTGTGCTTTCAGCGTGCCCCCTCTGCAGGGGCAGCCTGCAGAAAGCAGCACAGCTCCTGCAAGGTTACAGCCCAGTGCAAGCCAGGCTCTGAGCATCCAGCACACACTGCTGCCTGCAGGGAAACCACAACATCACCTAGCTCTGGGGCTGGGAAATGATTTCTCCCTTCATGAGATCAATCATTCCGATAAAAGGATGCTCCTGGGTACCTGCTACTGACCATGCAATGGGAGCCCCTCACAAATGCTTTCATACCCAGGGTTCAAGCTGGACCTTTCCTTTTACCGACCCTCCAGTGGAGGTTCCCCATTGAGATTTTCACTGACAATCCCAACGAGTACTGGAAACCCCTAGCAAGAAAAAGGGAAACATTCCCTCAACTTCCCTGTGTGGATCTTGTCCCTGCGCTCAAATCCTCACCGTCCCATGCAGTGACTCATAAGGAATAGCAAAATAATGGGGCTTGTGTTGAGGTTTTGTTTAAAATCTTGCGAGTCATTTTATCTTAGGAAAAAGCATCGATGGTAAATCTGGGTTTAGTGGAAGACAGACAGCAGGCTGCCAGGCAGCCATGGGATCTAAGGCTTTAGCTGAAAAGAGCAGGCAGAACCAATGGGATGCTGCAGAAAAGTTCTCTGAGGAGATTTCTGCGTCACAAGGAAGCAGAAGAGGTTGGAGCCCAACTTCTCCCTTTTCCAGGCCACTCTCTAAAAGGTTTCTGAGGAGATGGGGATCCCTGCTCCCCAGCACATCAGGAGCAAGGCAGGATGGGAACATCACTGATGCATATTCTTAACTGTCAAGGTGAAAAAGCTGCTTCAGAGCATTTGATTTCACAGCTAACGAAAATCCAATCTCAATGTGCTTCCTGTGATGAATGTCCTGAGGAGCCCACCTCTCCCTTCCTTGTGTGCCAAAGCATTTTAATTGATGCCAAGGTT